GGAGAGAGGCGGCAGTCGCATGAGATGAGGCAGAATTCCGAGGAGCGGGGCGGGGCGGAGCGCGCCTGCCTGCCTGCCTGGCTGGCTGTACAGAACTATCGGTATAGAGATAGATGTAGGCGAAGATATGTTGGTAGATGTATGGGCGGGGCGGGGCGCGGCGCGGCGAGGGTGGCGGCGGGGTGGCGGCCCGGGGCTGGCGCCAATATGGGAGTGATGTATCAGACGGGGGTGGCGCGCGGCGCCCGTGTCTGAGCGCGCGTGTGTGTGTGCGCGCCTAGTGGCTTCCCTTTCTTTTCCCTTTTGCAAAGCTCGCTGATTTGGGCCCCCGTTTCCAGCAGAACGACGCCGCCTTGTTCGTTTATGGACGAACCCGTTCCCTGCTCCCCTTCCCTTCGGCCCCTCGGACTGGACCCCTTGGCTCCATCGCGGTGTCCTGCAGTGTGCGCGTCTGGGCCCCTCTGGGCCGCGGCCGCCCCATCCCTCATAAGTAGTTAGCCGGGGTGCCGCGCGGGGACGGCGAGGACCGGGGAAAGGTGTGGGGGCCCGGGGGTAGATCATCGGAGATGCCCTGGGATTCCGCGGGTAACTTTCAAATTAAAAACTTTTGTGAAACGAAAACTGAAAAAAAGTTGTCCTTAGTTCTGTGGGGGAGGATTGACGCGGGTACGCCACTGTGCGGGCGAGGGTAGCTGGGGTGCCGCGCCCGCGTGCCCGCGTCTGTTGGCGGTGGTTGTTCAGGTCGTTTGGTGCAGAAACGGGGGTCTCCACTCCACTCCATCCGTGGGAGTGTTTGCGAAATCTGATCGCCCGGCCCGCGATGGCTAGTCCTTGCTGTCGGTGCTGTCCCCGGAATGGTGGCCCTTGGCCGCCCCCCGCGGCCCCCGCGGCCCCCCGCCGTGGCTGCCTCCCGTCTGCCAGGTAGCGGCGCCTGGCCGCCTGGCCCAGCCCCGCGCGGGCCCCGCATGGCGCCACAAGGTCGAGGCGGGGCGGGGCGGGGCGGGGCGGGGCGGGGCGGGGCGGCCACGACGCGGGGAGATGAGAGCGCCGCGGAAGGCAGCGACCGTCTGAAAACTTCTCGCTGCCGCCAAAGTCAAGTGAAGAACGGGGCCGAGGGTTCGAGGGTTCGATTCCCGCTGACGGCGTGGTGCCGGCCTGACGGCGGGGCGCCGCGACGCCGTGGGAAGCCGGGGGAGGTGCGAAAGGTGCGCCGTCGGCCGTCGGGGTGGTGCCTGCACTGTGAGGCTGGCACGCTGTAATTCACGGGGTGTCTCGTTCATTGCACTCATTGGAGGACCAAGGGTGGGGATGGCCGAGCCTTCGGGCCCAGCCTCAGCGCCTCGGCCGGCCGAGGAGGCCATTCCCTCGCCTTGGCCACCATTTGTCTGCTTGCCCTGAGTAATGGACGTATGGGAATGTGTGCGTAAGTTTGTGTGAGAGAGTCTGCGCGTGTGTGTGTGTGTGTGACGTGTGATGGGTAGCGTGGATTTATTTCGCCAGTCAGGTGAACTCGTCTACAACATCGTCTCGAATACCAAACCCACGTATTAAAATAAAAATTTTTAAAAAAATTGTGTAACGTGTTGCTAGGGCAAGTTTTGGCGCGTGAAAACGGTGAGGGATGGGGGATGGTGACGTCGCGGGACGTCGCCGGCTCAGAGGGTTGGGTCGACCGGCTATGTTCCGCGTGGTAGTCGACGGCTGCGGATTGTAGATTCGGTTATGACTCAGGCTAAGTCTTATTACGACTGGTTATTTTGGACTGATCAAAACCTAGTTGCGCATAACCTTACATCTAGAAGGTAGTGACAATCGCAGCAACTTCGAGAGTATTGTTCGCAGACACGATAGGTCGGACTGCCGTCGGCCCCCCAGCTACTGCCTTTGCCGATCCCGCCCTTTTGTGCCCCGACCAAACGGCATCAAAGTTTTTTTTTATTGCTTCTTAAACATTGTCTGCACTGTCGCGTCACCGCCTCCTCCTCCACCGCCGTAAAAATTTGTCGGCCGACACAGCGCCACCGCCACCGAGGGTCCCCGGCGTCGGGGGGTCGGCGTCGTCGGCGTCGCGGGGCGGCCGCGCCGGACCCTGTGCCGCCCCGCTGCCGCCCGGCCGCCCGGCGAGGAGGCTTGAAGAATCTGGGTCAATCAGGAGTCTATTCTGGGCCGGCCGGCGTCGTGGTGCGCCCCGCCCCGCCCCGCCCCGCCCCGCCCCGCCCCGCCCCCTCCGTCGTGGCGGCGTCTCGAAGGTGGGGGCTAAAAGGCGGGAGATGTCGGCCCCACGTGGTCATTTAGCTACGTGCGTGCGTATGTGTGTGTGTGGGTGTGCACACGTCTGCTTGTGTGTGAGAGCGGGGAGCGCGACGACGCGCGGAGGCGGTCTGGCGGACGCGGTGGCGAAGGGTTGTACGGCATATTCCCTTTTCTCCAGAACTCACACACACACACTCGCCCACTCGCGGCGGCGTCTAGTAGTTGGTCTGGACTTCCCTCCCCACCCCGCCCACGCATTCCTCTGATTAAACCTTTCCATCGTCCTCTTATTCTTTCCCGACCCGCCCCTCCGCCGCCCCCTCCCCGCGGCCGTTTCTCGCGTCCGACGCCGGGGCGCTGCGCAGGGCTGCGGCGGCCCGAGGGATGGAAGGGAGGGCGGCGGGGAGGGTCGCGCTGAAACGACGGCAGAGCCAATTAGATGCCGGTGGCGATGAGAAGTGCCGGTGGCGGAGCGGCGGCGCGCGGTTTGAATCAGTGCGGGGGAGGGGAGGGGAGGGGAGGGGGAGGGGAGGGTGCCGGACGGGGACGTCGTGGCGCGACGGCCGGGACGGCGCCTCCTCCCTGACCCTCGCCGTCTACGCCTCGGCTGCCTCGACTACGCGACGCCGCGCCGCGGTGCGCTCCGGCGACGTGTGCAGGTGGAATTGAGTTGACGGCTCTCTTCTCGAAGCCCTGGCGGGCCTGGCGGGGCCTGGCGGGGCCGCCTCCGTCGCCACCGTCGTCGTCGTGGTTTCGGCGACGCCGGTCCGTCTGCCTGCTGGTGCGTCCGCCCGTCCGTCCGCCCGTCCGTCCGCGTCTCCGCCGCGCTGTCCGATGGTCCGTGCCGTATAAAAGTTGGTCGGCCAGCACCGCCGGCACCGCGCCCCACGCAGCCTCACTGCTTCAGCCTCGGCGTCAGCCCCACCCCGTGTAGTATGGCCGGGTCGTAGTTAAAGTTGTCGGGGCAGTGGAGTCTCCATAAAAACGATAGTGGTCTTCCTGCGCCCCCCGGGGGCGGGGCGGCCCGGGGCGGGGGTTCGCGATGAGGCCGGGTAGGGAGCAAAGTTTGGCCGCTTTTCGAAGACTTTCTCTTAGTCTAGATGAGCGGCGTGGCGACAACGGGGCGGGCGGGTCCCGGCCCTGGACGCCGTGGACGCCCGGGACGGCCGGGACATGGCGGGGCTACACTTCTTGGGCTCCGGGCGGCACTTAGGCCAGCGGGGGCGCGCCAGGGCGGCCGCTAATGGTGCTGCGGCCCACCAAGACCCCCAGCAGCACTACCACGGGCAGGTTGTGGCGGCCATCCAAGATGCAGCCTTGGGATTGAACTTGGTCGAAATCTGAATGGCCGCCCGCCTGCCCGCCTGTCCCCGCTGGTGGCGGTGGCGTTTCGTAAGCGCGCTGTCGCCGCCTCGCCTCGCCTCCGCTGCATGCCGTGCACTTTGCGCTCGGCCTGCTCGGCCTGCTCGGGCGCACGGGCGTGCGGGGCGTGCCCGCGTGCCGGTTTTGTGTTTGCTGATTCAGCCGAGTACTGTATGCGACGCCCGCCCCGTCCCGGCACGCCGCGGCACGCCGCACAGTGGGCCAGAAGGCCGGTGGAGGCGGCCAAAATTCTAGACGCGTTTTGAGCTCCAGAGTCGCTAATTGTGACTCGAATAGAACGTGTGACCCCACCAATGGATTGCTCTCCGAACGAGGAATCCATTGGTGGGGTCACACGGTCGGTTGGTGTCCCATTTAGCGACTCTGGAGCTCAAAACGCGTCTCGAATTTTGGCCGCTCCGCCGGTCTTCTGGCCCACTGTGCGCCGCGGCACGCCAGGCAGGCCGCCGAGATGCTGCCTACACCGTCGAAAACGGCGTCGCGGTTTGATAAACATTTATTAAAGATGTCGGGCCGGGGCGGCGCCAGGGTCACTCGCCACCGCCGGTCAGGACGGGACGGGACGGGACGGACGGGCAAAAGTGTCGAGGCTGCGTGGCTGCGCCTCAAAAGTTGGTATCTCCGCGGATCTCGTGTCGAAGTGGCGCGGCAGCGCGGAGCGGAGAGCTGGGCGGAGACGATTTCGGTTTCGGCGTTGTTCCGAAGCTTGGCCGTGCCGGCCGCGCCGGCGGGGGGGAGACCGTGACGTAAGACTTCATCGTGATCAGCCGACGACGACGTATCGGGAGCCTCTCTCCCTCTCGCCCTCTTTCTCTCTCTCGCTCACTCAAGGTCGTCACTTGTCTTGAGCATTGAACAGTTGGCGTCGTCAAGGCGAGTCGAAACAATCTCAACTGGTGTTCATTTCTTGTTATTTCACGCGGCTTCGAGTGATTGAGCGCGCTGTGTGTGTGCTCGTGCGAAAAACAGCTTAATCCTTGGAAGCAAATACATCTGTGTAATTTCAGGCAGAGCAAAAAGGGATTTGGCATCCCTGGGAATAACGGTGTGCCGGGGCGGCCGGAGCGGAGCACAGTGGGCCAGAAGACCGCGCAGGCGGCCAAAACTCTAGACGCGTTTTGAGCTCCAGAGTCGCTAAACAGGCCTCGAACTGAACGTGTGACCCCACCAATGGATGGCTCTCCGAACGAGGAATCCATTGGTGGGGTCACACGTTCGGTTCGAGGCCTGTTTAACGACTCTAGAGCTCATAGCACGTCTAGAGTTTTGGCCGCTTGCGCGGTCTTCTGGCCCACTGTGCGGAGGCGTCCCTCCACTTTTCTTTTTCCTTGTTAACAAGTTTCCCTGTTGTTTCTTTGTCGCAGAACTCGATCCGGCACAACCTGTCGCTGCACAACCGCTTCATGCGCGTGCAGAACGAGGGCACGGGCAAGTCGTCGTGGTGGATGATCAACCCGGACGCCAAGCCGGGCAAGTCGGCGCGGCGCAGAGCCACCTCCATGGAGACCTCCAAGTTCGAGAAGCGGCGGGGCCGCGTCAAGAAGAAGGTGCGTCACGACTCGAAAATCCAATCCTCTCTGTTTGGCCGCCAACCCTTATCTATGTTTACTTCTTCTGTGTCGCACTTACAACATACTTCTGCAGACTCTTTCATTTCTCCCTCCGCAAGCGCGCACTACCCCTTCTCAACCTGGCGGCGCCGAGGCAGTGGGCCGGAAACTAAAGTGGCGTCGGATTGAACGAACAGTGAACCCCTTAGTCGAGTCGCGACTGGAGTCCAGGCACTGCACCGTGCCCCCGCCCTGTCGGCTGCTGGCCCTCCCCATCCTGTTCCTGTTTCCTTGCCTAATCCGTTTTGTTTGTCTTTCACTTTGTTGCTTGCCTGCGAATGTCGCACGGAAAGGCCTTCGAGCGCGGGGTATGTACAACACGCCCACTGTTCTGTTGCATGCTGCCGCCGCCGCGGTTCGGTGGCGATACCCCACGACACCGCGAGGCACGTAACACGAAGGCCCGACGGCCCGAAGGGGCGGCGGGGGGAAGGAGAAAGAGAGCCACAGCGGGGCTGGCGGCGGGGTTCCAAAACCCTGAACCCGCGGCGACGTTGTGAGGTTCAGGGTTCGAGCCCCGTCCCCAGCACCGCTCTCCTTTTTCTTCCCCCTCCCGGTCTGCAGACATGTCTCTGTCCTCATCCTGCTGTACGCTTGCTTCCGCCTTCTCTGTCTTACACTCACGCCTCCGCTTTCCCACTCGCTGCTAGAGAGAGACGCACAGTGGGCCAGAAGATCGGTGGAGGCGGCCAAAATACTAGACGCGTTTTGAGCTCCAGAGTCGCCAAATAGGACTCGAATTGAACGTGTGACCCCACCAATGGATTGCTCTCCGAACGAGGAATCCATTGGTGGGGTCACACGTTCGGTTCGAGACCTGTTTAGTGACTCTGGAGCTCAAAACGCGTCTAGAATTTTGGCCGCCACCACCGATCTTCTGGCCCACTGTGAGACGGGGAGAGCCCCCTGCGTGCGGCGCGTAGGCTGTCCCGCCGGCCGTGCCTGCGTCCGGGATGCCTACCCGGCAGGCGTCTGGAGCGAGCCGCCTGCAACACGGGGTGCTTGGGCTGGCCTGGGCTGGCCGCCGTCCTGGGCACTGTAGGGCACTAGCACTGTAGGCACGCCAACGTGTGCTCGGCCTGCCACGGCCGCTCGCTCGGAAGGCGCCCAGCCCAGCAGAGCGACGCCGCACGTCGGTGTTGTCGCTCCGTCTCTCTCGCTCCCACGGCGCGTCCCGTGGAGGTGCGAGAGAGACGGGGCGCCTCGCGATGTGTGCCGAGTGGTGCCGAGCCGCCGAGCGCACGTGGAGCCAAGGCGCCAAGGCCGAGAGCGCGCGGTCGCCCAGTCGCGCACCCAGTGTTGCCACATACGTGCCTCGAAATTCCCACGATGCACCAAGTGCCGAAGGGTTGCCAACTTCGGCCTGCCTACCAGGCAATGTCCCGTTGCCTGTCGGCAGCCTGAGGTTGGCCACCCTTTCCACGCTGGTGCATCGTGGGAATTTCTGCCTACTTATGTGGCAACACTGCGAGCACCTGTAATACCCAGTCCGTAGTCGCGTAGCGTCGCGTAGCCGAGTGGCAGAGAGGCGGTGGCACACTCGAGTCAGCCGCGTTGCCGGGCCGAGGCGCCCGCAGGTACTGTCTCCCTCGCACGCGCGGGGCGCGCGCCGGGCGTGCGAGAGAGACAGAGGGACTTGACGCGCGACCGCGGACCGCGCCGTTTCGCGTTTCGCCAGTGTTTTGGCTGTTTTGGCGCCCCGTTGAGCTGCTCGCTGCTGTTGCTGCATCGGCCATGTGCCGGAAGGGAGCTAATTACAGTGCTGTCGTAGTGGAGTAGAGGGGGGGCTGCCGGCGGCGTCTCGAAATGAGTAGCAGTGTGACGCTCTTTAATTGGAAAAGTATCGATCCCCGCAGCCGTTCCGGCCCGGCTGGCCCGGCTGGCCCGGCTTGCCGCCGCGGGCGTAGCGCAGCGCGACGCAACAGGGACCCCCTGCCTGCCCCTGCCTGCCCCTGCCACGCCGATGAAATGTTTACGAGCGTCAAATACAACACCGCACGCTCCAAAATTATTTCCGACTCGGAGATTTTTTCGGGCTGATAGTATTTTTGGTTTCGTCGTCGGGAGACAAAAAGTGCGCTTCTGTCTATTGCTAGCCGTCACGGCGGCGATGGCGTTGGCGTTATCAGATGTCGCGGGGTGGGGGCGGGGACGCTTATTGGACCGGGTCTTGCATCACTCGCTGGCGCGGCTGTCGCGGCTGGCAGGGTTAGTGCTTGGGGGCGTCGCCACAAGGTGCACCGAGGTCTCACTCGCGTCGCCGTGGCGGCCGTGGCGGCCGTGGCCATGCACCGAATGGCAGTGGGGTGGCGCGCCGGGCCGGTGCCAATATATCAGGCTGATATGCGAGTCCGCTCGGGCCCGGATGCGTCATCGGAAGGGTAATGCCGGCAGCGTGGTGGTGGCACCACCTGTAGAGTGTAGGGCCTCCTAGCTATCTCGCCGGGCTGCCTGCCCCGCCATGCGCTCAAGTAATACGTAAGATTCTGTCAGGAAACTGGCAAAAAGAGGTTGGCTGTTGGCTGCTGCGCGTCTGGCTGGCTGTAGCGCCTTGTGGTGGTCGACCCGTCCGTGACCGACGTCGCCGTGCTCCGTGTCTGCAGGTGGAGGCGATGCGGAACTGCCTGGGCGCCACGGACGCGTCGCCGTCGCCGTGCTCGTCGGTGTCCGAGGGCCTGGACCTGTTCCCCGAGTCCCCCATGCACTCGGGCGGCTTCCAACTCAGCCCGGACTTCAGGCCGCGCGCCTCGTCCAACGCCTCGAGCTGCGGCCGCCTGTCGCCCATCCCCGCCGTGGAGCCGGACTGGGGCCCGTCGTACTACGTGGCGGAGCAGCTGGCCGGCACCCTGGAGCAGAACATGAAGCTCTTCACGGTAAGCGGCGCCCTTAATGTCCCCCCCAGCTGCCCCACTGTACATATTGGCTCACTTGTTTGTCTGCCCGCAGCCCTTCACCAGCCCTTCGCAGCAGCAGACGACGACGCAGCCCCCGGAGCCCACCGGCCCTCCGCCCCCGTACCAGGCGCCCTTCGACGTGTCCTACAGCCCCACGGGCCCCGCGGGGGGCGCGGCCGGCGGCCCGGCCAGCCGGCTGTCGTTCGTGCCGACCTGCCCCGTCCACCGCCTGCAGGGCTGCTCCTGCATGCTGCAGTGCCCCCCGGAGGTAGGCCAGGCCGCCAGGCCGCCAGGCGGGGCCGCGATGGTCCAATAAGGCACGGCGCCGCGCGCCAAACAAGCCTTATTGCAATAAGCCGAACCGAACCGACTGACTTTGTTTTTCCTGCCCAGAGCGTCTCCCCCGGTGCGGCCGGCATGTCGCCGACGTACCAGCGCTCCGAGCCCTCCCCGGACAGCAGCTACACGCAGTCGCGGCAGCAGGCGCAGACGCAACCGCCCCCGCCGTACCAGCCGCCCTCGCCCGACGCCCTGGACGGCCTGGACGGCCTGCCCCCAGACTCGGCGGGCTCCCCTCTCGGCGCCGGCCTCGACGGCGTGGACGGCATCACCGCGCCCACCACCATGATGGGCCAGATGATGGCGGCGCTCAACCCCACGCTGCTGGACGACCTGAACCTCAACATCGAGGGCGGCTTCGACTGCAACGTGGACGAGGTGATCGAGCGCGAGCTGAGCCTGGAGGGCAGCCTGGACTTCAACTTCGGCCAGCACACGCAGCACCTGCAGCCCCTGCAGCAGGTGAGCGTCCCTCTGCGTCACGGACCTGGAGTCCGCGAGCCGCCCTACCCCCGCCCTCCCTGGAACCTCTCGAGCGTCGCGGGGCGTCGCGGGGCGTCGCGGGCCGTCCTTGCGCCTCCCTTGACCGCTGACCCCATCCCGTCCATGTGTGTGTTGAACGTGCCGCCGTGTGTTTGCAGACCGTGTCCTCGGGGCCGCAGGGCAGCTCGCACAGCTCGCAGCACTCCGGCTCGACCCAGACGGTGGCGCCGTACGCGTCCGTCGCACCGGCCCACTCGGGCCACTCGTGGGTCCACTGAGCCACCCCGCGCCCCGCGCCCCGCCCGCACCCCCTGGGCCTGCACTGCAAGTGGAGTGGTGCACGCCCCGGGCGACGTGCCGGCGGGCCGGCCGCGGCCGAAGGTACGTACGCACGTCAGTCTCTGTTTCTTGCTTACTATGGAGGCAGGTTGGCCTCGCCCCGACTCGCCTCCCTGCGCTGTGCGGCGCTGTGCGGCGCTGTGCTGCGGCGGCGTTCGAAGCTGCCTAAGCTAATTTGGGCCGCGTGGCGCCGCGTCGCGCCGCCCCGCCGTCATGACTCGCGACCCGCCTCGCGACTTCGGCTCCGCTTTCCCCAGATTGGCGGCGACGCGCTGGAAGCTAAGGCGCTGGAAGCCGTGCCCCTCCACGTCCTCCGCCTCTATCACTCTATTCGATTGGCGGTGCCCGGCCGTGCTGCTTTATTTCCTGTTTCATTCGTGGGCAACTGGCGAGTGGAAGTCAGCGTGCAACCAGCAGGAACCAGCACCACCACAAACCCCCGCCCCGCGCAGCGTAGGCACAGGCCCTCTCAAACCGAACCCCTTCCCAATTTTTTTCAGCTTTGCATTTTGGCGCCGGCCCCGCACTAGTTGTTTGAATTTCTATCGACGAGGGCGTGCGTGGTGGCGGGGAAGCGGCCGCCCCGCCACTCGGCACTCCGCCGCCGCGGCCGCAGATTTATTGTAATGTCGGCCCCGTTGCCGCTCGCCGCGCGCCGCGCGCTCAGTCTCGGTGACACGTTTGACTTGGGTCGGGCGCGACAAATAAAATTTGCGTCGCCGTCGTTGTCAGCCGCGCTGGCGGGGCGGGGCGGGGCGGGGAGCGCGATGAGGGGTGGTGGCAGCGCGTCGTGGTGCCTCTGGCCCGGAGTCGGAGTGGAGTCACCCCGTTCTCCGTTACGTCTCGCGGTGGGACCGCTGCGCAGTGGGCCAGAAGACCGGTGGAGGCGGCCAAAACTCTAGACGCGTTTTGTGCTCCAGAGTTCCTGAATGGTACTCAAACCGAACGTGCTCCCCACCAATGGATTGATCTCCGAACAAGGAATCCGTAGGTGGGGTCACACGTTCGGTTCCAGTCCCATTTAGCGACTCTGGAGCTCAAAACGCGTCTTGAGTTTTGGCCGCCTCCACCGGTCTTCTGGCCCACTGTGCGCTGCCGCGCCACGGCCGTAGCCTTAGCAGTGTAGCTTGTCGGGGTGCGTCGCGCCGCGCGTCGCGGGGCGGTTCGGCGCGGTTCGGCTCGGCTCGGCCACCTTTGTTCGCCCGGCCTCGCTAAATCCCTCGGCTACTTTAGCTAATTGCGTTTCCCCGCCCCGCTTCGACAAGTGCCTTCGGCCATCGGCTTTCAGTTTGATTCTTTTCCCTTTCTTTTTGTCCTCCTTTATTTTTATTTTTTTTTTTTCGCGCGGCGTTGCGGCCGCCGGTCGTTTTATATCGCCGCCACCCTTTTTGCAAATGATGAGTGATGGTGGACGCGCGCTTTTGCTTTTGTCGGAGACGCGACAAGTGCGATCCATCAAGGGAGAGAGATAGAGAGAGGAGAGGGAGGAGAGGAGAGGGCCCCGGCCCGACCCCGCCCTGCCTTTCGCCGACCCGCTCGCCGCAACTCTTTTCGGAACGCGCCCCGCCAGCCCCGCCAGCCCCGCCGCGCTCTCTGACCAAACACTGACCTTGCACCGCCACGCCGGCCACGCCGGCCACGCCACTGCCGTGCCCGCTCCAAGATTCGGCCCGCGGACGGTGCTTCGCCGCTCTGTCTCTCTCTCTCGCACTCCCGCGGCCCTTGCCTCGTTGTCAAAGAGTTCGTTAAACCGTCCGGAAGCCCGGACACTCCAGCAGACTGATTCCGCAGCCGTCTGATTCCGAACACTGCTTCGTCGCTCTGTCTCTCTCGCACCGCTACGGACCGCCCCATGAGTGCGAGAGAGACAGAGCGACGAAAGCAGTGCTCGGAATCAGACGGCAGAGCCGTTTGGTCGCGCCGTCTCTCTCGCTCTCTCGCGCCCCGCAGGGTTTGGCGAGAGAGACGGCGCGACGGAACGAGTCTTCGTAGTGGCGCGGCAGTCCGGCAGTGCCCGGCACCGGACCGACGGCTTGGACGGCTTGCCGCTCGCCGCGGTCAAGGTGACGTGGTGACACTGACGCCATGGTCATTCGGCCAGCCGCGCAGCGCAGCGCAGCGCAGCACCCCAAGGTGGACGACCTCTGACCCCCACTGCCCCTAGGTCAAGGCGATCATTTCTTTAATAATTTGTTTTTCGGAAGCGATTTTCTTTCCTTTTGCGACGCGCGGCCGGCACGGCCCCTCGTTCCCGTTCTCTTTCTCTTTATTTGTTTTGGTCGTTTCCGCGAGCGAGACAGGGCACAGGGGGCGCCACCGTCACCGCGACACAGAGAACCGGGGCAATACAAGATAAGGGATGCAGGAACCGGAACCAGCGGCGCGGCGGCAACCAGGTACCGGCGCTGCCGTGCGCTGCCGCCGCGGGTCGGCGCGTCTGTCTCTCTCGCACCCACGCGGGTCGCCGCTTGAGTGCGAGAGAGAGGCCTCCCGTTCGGAATGAGCGTGTCGGCGTCCTGGCCGTCCTGGCGGCGGCGCGGCCGCCGCGAGACATCTTGATGAGAATCTAGTGCCAGGCCACGAGCCATTGATGCGTGGTCGCGGTGGTCGCGGTCCTCCGTCCCTCCCCATCCCCACCGCGCCGTCTCCGGGGCGCCCCGCCCGCCCCGCCCGAGCTGGCAGTCTGGCCGCCCTTATGCACGATTAATTCCCGCAGTAATACGCTCGACTGGCTGCCTGCCTGCCTGCGCCCCGATCGCTCCCTCGCCATCACTTGCCTGCCATCCACCGATGAGTTTATGCCTGCCCCTCCGCTCCCTTCTTGATCGGGAAGGGAAGAAGGCCGCGGCAAGGGTAGACAAGGGCGGCGACGCGGTGGCGGTGCGGCGGTCGCTTCGGATGCTGAGCATGCTGAGTGCGCCCCGGTGGCACCATCGTGGCACCTCGGCGGTGCCGTGACTTCCCTTTGCCCTCCGTGATGAACGGCCGGGGGAAAGGGGGGGGGGGCTTCGGCGCCGCTCTCCACTTTTTGTTCCTCCCTCCAGTTCCTCTCCAACTTAGGTGGACTATTATATATCTCTGGTCGCTACCTGGTCCTTGCCCGCGGCCCCGACTGCCCCCCCCCCCCTCTCTCTCTCTCTCTCGCTCGCAGCGCGACGATAAATCGCGGCCCGCCATCGCGTTTTGATTCCGTTTCCGTGCATGCCACTTTAGAATTGGTCGTTGCGAGGACAGCCTCGTCCATCTCTCCCCTCTCTAATCGTTCCCCCCCCCCTCTCTCGGTTGCAGGGAAGACTTTGAACGGTGTCCGGCTGGTTTCGGCGGCGTTCGCGGTGACGGGGGTGTTGGTCTCCGACGGCCCCGACGGCGACGGCCCCGGCCCCTCTGACGGCCCCGCCCCACCGAGGCCTCAGCCCGCCCCCGGGGCCCCCGCTGGCCTTCCCCGGCTTTCGGTTGGGCTAGTCACTCTCCTGGCCAAGGTGGACTGGATGCACCATGACTACCATGACGCGGGACAGGAGGCCGGAACCGAAGCTGTCCGGACCAGAACTCTAGGAAAAATTGTGAAGTCAGATCAAGTGACGTGACAGACTGTCTGACTCTTTGTTTTTAATCTCCAGTACTCCAGCTCAAATATTGTTTTCAGTTTGTGTTAGTGATTATTGTTACGATGTGGCTGCTATTCGTATGTACTCTGGCTTAAGTGTATGAAACATTTTGGAACGTGCCGTTTGAGATATGTTGTTAGATTGACTAGTTTAATTATTGGCTATCTTTTAAGTTGAACTCTCACACAGTTATTTTTATTCTTTCTTTTTTAACTTCTCAGTTGTTTTCTTTCATTTATCAGAAAATGCTGTCATTGTAACCTATTTATAGAACAGATGATTTATGATGGTCAAATTTGATTGATGGTTTCTTTTGGCTACAAAAAATCCACAGGTGTCTAAATTTTAAAGAAAGCAGGCTTGCCTATTTTTGATGAGTTCACATGTATTTAACAGACCTTGTTTTATTTGAATGTTCTATCCGTGTTGTGTATGTTTGGCAAGCAGAGAAACTTCTACTGGTGTTTGTGAGAAGGAAAGCTGTAGTGAAAGAAAGGCATTGATTATCAAGCGGGACTGGGGCGAGCGTTGCGAGCGAATGAGTGAAGGAACAAATGAATGGCAGAACTAGTGTGTACCTGAATAAATGAGTGAGTAAATGCATAAGCGTGTCTGTGACAAGCACTCGCCCCTTATGCAATTCAGTCAAATATTGACCATTCCGCATACTTTAGACCATATGTTAAAAAAAATGTGCCAACAATCACCTAACATCAATGTCATGTAACTACAGAAAAGTTACTTCTTAGAGAGTATTCACTCATCCTGTGGGGCATAAGATGCCAATTGTTTCTTTTTTCTTGTTTTAAAAATAAAGCTGTCATTTATTTGTTGTCTGCAAATTATGAAGGCTTTTCATTTTGTAATTTTTAAGGGTTGAAATATTTTTCATTTTAAGTACAAATCATTGATAGATTAATGCTTATTATTTTTGTACATGATGAGTCAAACTGGTGTTATCTTTTTCTTTCTGTTGTTCATTATTTGTATATCGACATTGATGCTGTTAAAGATTAGTTTGGACACAAGCTTGGTGTGATATCTCTACATGATAGTTAAAAAGTCAATTGTAAATTTTTGGCAACTATTTCTGTTTGTTGTAAGATAGGGTATTCTTTATTCTGCATACAGATATATGCATATGTGCACTACCGGTCTAAAGTTTGAAAAATGCCTGAGATGTGATGCTTCAAATTAGTTCAGTGTAGTGACTTGTGAAAAAAAAGCCTCCAAATCCTGCTCATGAAGAGTGCTGAGGAAATTATTTGGGTGTACATAAATGTTAAAGTATGTAAAACACTCATTATACGGTAATACACAAAATTTCAAATTTTTCTTGGTGCTAATTATGGTCTAATTTTGAATCTCACTGGCAAGATATGTTAATGCGTATTAAAGGCAAATCATTAGTTGCCTTCTAGACATATTTATTATGTGTACAAAGTACATTGCATTAATTAAGGATTCATTAGGCTTTACTCTTTACTTTGTTTGGTTTTCTACTCAAGCACGTTATTTTGTTGTTTTGTAAGTCACTCGCTACCATTGTGCTCGAACTTCTGAACGGTAGTGGACCACAAACTGTGTGTCACACATCATGTAAGTATATGTGCAACAATTTTAAATAAATGTTTGTATATCTATATGTATATTTATATGTCCTACTGTTGAAATTGAAAACGTGTGTATTTCTTGATGTTCTGTTAAAAGATTATTTATGTCATCTTTTGAGACGCACATTCAGTGATATGAACATCACTAGTTACCTAAGTTGAGTGTTGTACGAAATAGTTTAATGCATCAGCTTTGTTGGTGATTAGCACTGTGCTGATGTTTCAAAGTGACTTTGCAGAAATTACCCAAAATTACAAGCTTAGTGTGACACAATCAAGCTCCTTGGCATTATAATCTTCTGTGGTTTAAAAAACGAGTGGGAAAAATGGATGTGAAGTTGCATGTATTAACGAAATCCTGGAGAGATTGGGTGATGAGAATTCAGGAATAATTTCACATGAAGATAAATTTTTATACTGGTTTTTCGCATGTTATCACAGAGTTTTGTAAATGTGATCACTATTGAAAAATTGGTAAGAAAATTTTGTTTCTAAAATTTTGTCTGGATTTTATTCATTTTAAAAATTGAATGCTATCTATTCAATGTAACTACAAATTTACACTGCTATTGGGCCACTTCCTACCATTCATAAATGCCAGATCAAATGTTAGTTACTACTGATTTATGTCATTTCCATAAAATAAGTAGTAAATCTTGAAAATCTTAGCTAGCTAAGATGGAAACTGCATCACCTGCATTTTCTCTTAGTACTTTTCATTATTTTTAGTGCATTAAGTAGTCTTGCTGTGTTCTACCGTCACTCTCTTAGTATTGCAATTGTGAAATGCCAGTGAAGAAATGTGCATGATGCTCAATGGTATGCCATGATCACAGTTTTCCAACGTGTCCCTGGAAAAGCCTCTGTGGTCAGCTCTCTGCATAATGTTATGATGGAGTTGTAGGCTCAGTGTCAATTGTATATTTGATGTAATGAACAGTCAAGAAGTGAATAGGTTTCTGATAAAGTTAAACCTAGTGGTGCTTCATGAAAAGTTTGTTGCTAGCATGCCTGAAAGGGGCCTGGCGGTATCTAGTCAGCCTTGTGTCAGGCCCAGATCCAACGCAATGCAGCGACCAGCAATGCGCTGGGTGGGTTTGTCCCACTTCCAAGTTAGGCTAGAAGAAACGAATTGTGATTTGATTATTGAGAAGCAGGTTACTTAAAGTAATATGTGGTAGGAAAGCTGTATACATAACAATTGTGCCATGTTATTTACAAAAAAAAAATCTCTATTATGATGCAGACATCCCATCTTTGTTGTTATAAATAGTAAATCAAATTATTGCTAATTTTTCCTTTTATTTCACCACCCATCCCTCTATCATTCATCATCACAAATAAATATTGGAAGAGGACCTGAAGAGAGTCCAACAAGACAATCTTACAGCCAGGGGTTTTCATGTAGAACACCGGACAAGTAACTTAGTAAAAGCAAATTTATTCAACACAACACCGTTTTAAAATCTAAGCATCACTGTAACAGGAGAACACGAATAAAATTTGAGCTATTGATTTACCAATATTATTCCTAATGTAATTAATTTAGTGATTACGTTTTGTACTATAACATTACCCACACTTTTTAATCACAATTAGTGCCTATTCCCTTAGTTCTCACCAACACTTAGACAACCTTCTCAAGAATCACATAGATATACTGTACAAGGATTACTTACCAAAGAACATGGAAATATTTTAGGATACAATCGAGATAAAAACCATTTTGGCTTACAACAGGCAGTGCAGATCTCTTCAAAACCAACATAAAATTATTAAAATCTTTTTTTTTTTTCAAAGTATCATGGCTCAATCTGTTGTTTCAAATACATTTTGACTTGATGATCTGTCTGTTACCAATTCTGCCCATTTTATATTGACACATTTGTTTTCTTGGCTTGCATGCACCTTAAACTGAAACTCCAAAACAAGCTAAATTTTGTTTCACTTAATTTGTCTGCTCAGCAGCCTCCTTGCTTCCGAGGTAATTGTGGTTGATGAAGCGTGCTCCTTGCGTAAGCTGGGCACATTCATTTGTAAAGTGACAAGCGAAGAGCAACATGTTTCTTGGTTGGACACGCCACGCGAACCTCATGAACATAATTGAATACAAAGAAAGCGCTGAAAAAAAAGACCACATTAGCAAAGTAGATGCATATCAAGAATTGTGTCCTTAAAAATTTTTCTCCCAAGAATAGGATTTAAGAGTATATTCAAAATTTAATAATTGAGTGATACTTACCGAGAGTCATTTTTCCACTGATCATTGCGGCATCTTTCTGCGTGTCTGCAATAGCTGCTAGAGGTATACCCCAATTGGCAACTGGTCCCCAGAAGTGCGTGCTGCCAAGAGTTGAAGTGTCAATAAGTGAAACGGAGTGACAGGTCAGTAACAACAAAAATAAATTGACACTAAAACCATGACAGCAACTAAAAATTTGCATTAAAGCCGTAAAGATTGCAAATTTCTATTAGGGATCACAAACGGTAACAAAAAGCAGAAAAATAATCACTAAAAAAATACAGTGAAATAACACTCTGCTCACCTCATCAAATATTCACGAAATTCTTTGCTCTTGAGGCTGTTCATTAATTTTCCAGCGACAGCGGCCATGGTTGTTACTTGGGTAGACCCTGAGTTGCCAAGAAATGAAGGGTACCCGTGCACGCAGCAAGGCAAGGTTGTTCGAGCAGCTGATAGCAAGGTTTTTTCTTGCCCTCTTAACTCACTGAATGTGAATGTGACTGCGAATTTAGCTAACAAAAAGGATCAACATCAACATTGAGATTCAGTGGACAGACTATGGCAAGTTCATCGTTCGGAATCTGTCGATCCTTATGCCGGATGGGTGGTCTACCTACCCGGCGCCTGGCTCGATTCCGAGCTTAAAACCGATACAAGGTGGGGCAACACTTTTTGGCGCATGCTCACATAACTCCAGATTTTCGCTACAAGGGCCGGAATGGTCCTCGAAATAGTGTTAGGAGTCATTAGTGAGAGCTCCAGCACAACATGATGCAATTTGGGCCATTTTAAATTTTTGACCAAAAAGGTCAAAAACCCATGGTGTATAAGCCTTAGCTTTTTTTTTTCAACAAAAACTGTCAACCACTTCAGATTTAATGAAAAAGTTGTAGATGAAGGAATTTCCTCTTGGGGGCATCAGGAAGGCATAACAGCACAAGAGCAAATGGAAAACATTGCAGTCATTTTAAAATAATTATATTTTATTCATGATCATACAAGCATTCATTATTTCTCTCATTACATACATATGGCATTTTTCATATTCTCACACTCATTCAAGCAGCATGACTTCATGATATTCTATTTGTATTCTGGTAACAATTTTACCATTTCAATTCAGCACAATCCAAGTTATCCAAGCTTCACATGAGTAAATTTGCAAGACAATGAAAAAGAACACACAAGACATAAAGAAAAGCTATCTCTAACAACAGAATCTCTTCCCACTATGATCAGGTCAGATAACTTGGACAATGCATATGCACACTATGTGAGCTGTACAGAAATACACAGTACATCTTGCAATCCAATACAACAGCAAAGTGGAAAGACTTTACTCAAATATTCACTCAATAACTAGAGACCATTCATACTCACACGGAAATCACTTGCACAAATGTACACTCAGGCACACACATTTGGTCAGACACACACTAAAAAAAAGGGGAAAAAAAAGACAGATACACGATACCACATTCATACATCAGAACTAACTCTCTCACACTCATTTTAAATAAGACTGACTTGTGCAATTTAGCACACATTGCTATAGGAGCAATAATAAATGAAATATCAAGGGTCATGGTCAAGTTTTGGAAACAAAATCTCAAAAATGGATAGGTAGAGAATGCAGTCTGATACCATCATTTTCACGTGAATTTAACTAAAAATTAATTTAAAAAAGAATAAAAAAGTTTACAAACATCTATAAACTGGAAGTCTTACCTCTATATATGAACAAATAGCTATAAACATATTTCTTTATCAAAATCACACAATTATGTAACCAAGTTTAAAAATTTGAAGTATATATAACAAACCTAAAGGATACATAAATTAAAGAAAGACTATTTCAGAAGACAAAGAAAAGACACATTAGTTTTGTGTTTGAAAGTTCTGCACACTCTATTGGCAAACTCCGATTAACAGAAGAGAAAGTTAATCTAATCAGATCAAAACAAAGTCAAGACCAACGTCTAATTTCATTTAGGAATTGAGCAGCATGCTACTTCAATAATTCATTATTACACATGTAGCACATATCAAATAGTTTCTTACAAAATCACTACGATAAATATCTTGGTAATACTGACACTAATAGAAAATCTCTTGTTATGTAAGGCAGTATAATCATTACTGACCAGATGTGAGCATAAACACTCCTGGTTGACTTTCAGTGCTAGGTAATTTTTGGCTCTACATTTCATGGGCCAGCACAGAGCACTGAATGTCACAATGGTACAAATTAAGTAAAAAATCTAAGAGTCAGATTTGTTAGTACCAACATAGACATCCCAAACATCATTAAATCAAATATTGATTTTAATTCCATCTGTCCATTTTTGTGGCAATCACTGAAAAACAACAGAGCTCTGGAAAGATTTTCTTACCACTGACACATTAAAGCCAAAATTTAAGAAAACATATCACATTTTGCTAAATTTTTAGTATCCAGTGGATTTATAAATACAAATTAAAGTCTGTATCTGCAAATCACCAATAAAGAGCTGTTGGTGCACGGCACAAGTGGACTTTGGAATGAATTGAGTTCCACCTAAGCACACAAGACAATGGTGGAAACTAAATGAACGGGTGAATCTCCTTGTCATATAATTCCAATCAACTGTGCATCTGTATGTGCTTGTAGTGGTGAACAGATATGGCACCTGGTGCCTACACCACATTTCCATTGAGCATTTTTCTCTGACCAGATACAATAGAAAAAATGTTTTCAAATATACTATACAAGAACAATTTTAAAACATAAATCTCTAACATAAATGTTTCACTGGCCTTCACTTTCACTGTCACTCTTATCTGAAATAAGAAAGCAAAAAGGTACATTAGTATTAACGTTTTGATAAAATAATTTCTTTGACCTCAAAAGTTAAAATTTAAAATTACCTTTCTTGCCAGGGTATGCATGGCGCTTCAACCTGTCGTAAAGGTCTTCCTTATTGCCATAAAGGCTAGCATTTGAGCGGGCTAGGCTATTCATCTTGCCATTGTGTAAACTCTCTGCAAAACGAAAAACAATGAGTAAAAATTTTACGAAGCTTCTTTCTTGAGCAGTGCTAGTTTACTTTAACAAAGTTCACAACTGACCTTTCATATAAGTCTCATTATAAAAGTTAGGCATTTCCCAGCCATCCTCCTCATCATCATAATAATGGGCATAGGTTGAATGGTGTGATGGGGCAATGGACTCAGCATACGGAGTGGGCGCACCATAATAGAAGTTAACTTGAGATCCATTTTGTTCACTAGCTTGGGTAAGTATTTTAGCTGCCTTAGGCTCTTTCCTTCGAGTTGACCTAACAATCAAACAATTACATGAAGTATAACTCTTAACCAGTCAAGCTAAAAATAAAGCTTAAAGCAAAATGTAAAATCGAGGAAATGGATATGGCTTACCTCACACAGATCATCCATACCAACAGGACAATAAAGATAACAAACATGACACCACCAGCAATGCCTCCCATGATGTAGGCAAATTCACTCTTTTCAGCACAATGTGGTCCCGTGAAGGAACCAGAGCATCTACACGAGGGATTTCCTCTGATATCCTTGACACAGACACCTTCATTCTCACAGAAACCAGCACAGACATCAGTACACACACGGCCCGTTCCATTGTATCCAGGTTTGCACTCGCATTTGAAGTCGCTTGTCTCAGGAAGGAGCAGGCAGTATGCATTGGGATCACAGTGCATCTCCACTGTGTTCATTTCACAAGGGTTTGAGCAGTCCTCCTTGCTTATCTGTAATAAAATTTTGATTAATAGTACCTAAGGGACTGAAACACCGACCGGGTATATCTGCTGCCAATACTGACCGATGCTGTGGTCTTGGTACTCGTGTTCGGTGGGCAAGCAACACAACTCGTTTGCTGAGCGTCGGGCTGATACGTGCCCTTCTTGCAGGCAACACAGCTGTTCTGAGTTCCATTTAAGTATGTTCCTAAAAAGAGGGGGCAAAAATCGGTCAGTAAACATAATGCAATACACTGTATATTAATTTTTCAATAAAAATATTAATTAACATACCAGGGGGACAGACGGGCAGTGAGCACTCCTCCACAGCAGCGGCGCCCAGTTTGGGAGTGGTGCGGCCCTGAGGACAAGCCTGGCAGGCTGCCTGCACACCCTGGGTTCGGTAAGTTCCTCTGGGGCAAGGTTCGCATCGACCCTCAACGGCCAACTGCATGCCGGAGCTGCATTCATCCCGACATTCCTGCAAAGAGAAAAGAAAAACACAATGTTAATTACATCAGTTCCTGACTGGAGGTAGACATTGTGGGGTAGAAGCTCCATTGACACACACCTCCTCTGACACAGCCTCAGTGGTGCGAGTAGTCTTGCCAAGTCCACACAAGAGGCACTTGAAGCTACCCTCTTCAGGTTGGTAGAAACCGTGACCACAGCTACGGCAAAGACCAGCATCGTCATCATAGTACTTTCCAGCTGGGCAACGTTCTAGAAAAGAAAAACAGGGAAATTAGTCCGAGTAATAAACACACTTTCCAAATACATAGACAAGCTACAATATTTACCTTTGCAGTCAGCAGCGCTTCGGGCTCCAGGAGCCACAGTGACTCCGGGGCGACCAGCAATAGCAGGGCAGAGTGTGCATTGCATCTGGCCTGATTCACTCTGGTACGTTCCAAGAGGGCAAGCCAAGCAAGTCCTAGTCTCTCGGTTGTAGAAGGTACCCACAGCGCACGGAACTGCAAAACAAATTAATGCTCTCTTAGATTCAAGATGGTAAGAGTACAAAAAGGGGGATAGACAAGCAGGCAGCTTGTACTTACCACAGTCCGGAGCCATGACAACTTGGCCAAGCGGACAGGCATAGTCGGATGTCAAGGTAAGGGAAGCTGGGTCAGGCACAGTGTTGGGCAGGATGTCATGAACGTCAAACTGGTCTTCTTCCAAGATCAGGTGCTCCAAAAGCCTCTGGACGTTGGATCTTTCATTGGAGTTGGCATTGACCACAGGATCACTACAGGCAAAACATCGTTGGATTAGCAACATTTTTGAGGCAGTTTGTTAAAAACAACAAAAGATAAAATAGGAGCACATACTTGATAGCAGGGAAGGAAATCTGGACACTGTAGGTGTCACTTGCTTCTCGTGTTACTCTGTCGGACCTGGCTACAGCCTTGACCTCTTCCTCGGTGGTGGCATGCGCAGAGCGGCTCTGGCGAGAGTTGCACTTGACATCGATATTGAGATCCTTGCACTCCCGTGTTCCTAAAAAAAAGGGATAAAATAATTCAATGCATTGTTTTACATTTGTTTTGTCTGGTAATGCTGACTCAGGCAAACACTCACCCTCCAAGGCGTAAGAGCAGAAGTTCCAGTCTCGGTTGAGAGAGTTGATGGCTGTCCTGACCTTCTGTCGGAGCACTCCCTGGCCGGCCTCATTGCAGAGAACGGAGCTTGGGAAGAGCATGCTGACCTTGAAGACACGCTGGGCTGGTTTGGCAGCTGTAAGTGGCATAAATTTAAATTACATGTGTGTGTTTGTCATGAGGAAATGTTCAAAACATTAAAAGAGTTACTATCTTACATGAGCAAGCAGGGTAAATTGTGGGCATGGCTGGGTTGTCAGTTGGCCGCCAGAAGCCCTCTGCACCGCAGGTGTAGAATCTTGGGACTGGTTGAGAGAAGCGAAGACCAGAGTTGCAGCTGATTTCGCACACCTTAAATTGTCCGCCTGCACCCCAATCCTTGCAGGTCTGTTTGCCACCGACAGGATCGGCCAGCTCCGGACAAAACTCGGCTGGAGGGGAAAAAAAATAAATTAATAATGCTGAAAGATTGGAAAATTTTTAAACCTACATAGTAAAGGCTAGAAAAATACTCACAAAGAACGTAGACCTTGAAGCTGCATGTGGCAGCATTTCCAGCTTGATCGTAAGCAACATAAGCAATGTGGTATGTGCCCCACAGCAGGCTTTGGCCTGGACGGTGGCCACTGCGCTCCACAACATTACTGATTCCAATGTTGTCACTGAACTCGGGCTCATCCCATGAAACGACTGCTGAGCCGTTGCGAGCAACAACCCATAGGTCGCCAGGGCAGTGCTCAACCCTTGGGGGAACCTTGTCGACAATCAACTCCTGGCAACGAGGTCCACTGTATCCCAATGGGCACACTCGTTGCCCACAGTGGGATGGCACAAGACGTTCAACACCTCCAATTGTGTCCTCATAACCGGCCCAAGTCAGCACCAAACCACGGTAGAGAACAGGCTCCGTTCTGCAGTCACGAACCTAAAAAGAATTTTTTTAAAATAAATTGTTATGGCACATCTTATAATTTTTAGAGGACAAACAATAGGTTTGAACAAGATTCTCACCTGCTTTTGGATTTCATTGGTCACATCCAAAGCTCTACCCCAAACTTGCACCTTAGTGAGATGACCCTGGAAACCGTTCTCAGTGTATGCCTTGGGATTTTCACTGCGGGGTTTGCCAAGAACAACCCAAGCACTAGAAAAAATAAAATAAGAAAAAAGGGAAAACAATTAACAGGGTTCTTTAAATTGTTTGATTGCAAAAAATTACAAGAAGGGGTACAAAAATTAGCTTACTTGTCAGGAAGATTGCGTCCACTTCCGTAACCCTCAACCTTGCTGGCAATGAGACCTTCTGTGATGAGAGTGAGAGAGCCACCAGACTCACCATCCCAAACCACGGCAATGTGATGCCACTGGCCATCATTGATGGTAGCGTATTCACGGAACCCTAGATAGACATCTTGCAAGTCTGCAAACAGTGAAATTTGGACTCCATTGCTGTGAGCCTGAACCATAGGCCTTCTGCTGACTGGGACATGGGGTGATCTGAAAATGAATCAAAGAGGTCAAATTATGACATGCCCAAGATATACCTCAACTTCAGTCTGGAAAAATATTTAATGCAATGGAGCACTTACGCGACGTTGTACATGGTGAAGAAAACGCCTCCTTCATCTTTGTTGGCGAACTGAACCCACATAGCAATAGTGAGGGAAGACTTTCCTCCCGTGAAGAACGGAACAACAAGTGCTGCACTGCTGCGTGCGGGGTCAGTGAAGCTTAGGTCGTAATCAACTTGAATGGCTAAAAAAAGGTGCAAATTAAAAATATTAATTTTTGTCTTGGTTTGGCTTAGTTAAGAATGCACAGGATGTAAGGAAACTCACTCTTTCGGCAGTCATCACCAGTCAAATTGAAAGGACATTGGCAATAGAATTTGCCAGTCAAATCAATGCACGTTGCTGAAGGTGGGCATGAGTTCTCTTGGCAGTCTACGATATCCTCATCACAGTTTTTGCCAGTGTAGCCAGGTGGACAAATGCACTGATAGCCAGCACCATTGTCAATACAGGTGGCTCCGTTCTGGCATGCGTTGGCCTCACAAGCATCGTACTCATATTGGCAACCGATTCCAACGTAGTCAGATGGGCAAGTGCAGTTGAGACCTGAGCCGAAGTCCTGGCAGCGGCCGCCATGCATGCAAGGATTGCCAATGCACCTCTCCGGAGCAGTTTCACACTGCTTTCCATCAGTACCAGAGGGACACCTGGAGAATAGGTCGTGCAAATGGTACCTTATTTAAATTTGTCTGCAAGCTACAAAATTTGAGAAACTGGGCCAACTTGTACTTACACACAGAAGAAGTCTTGGAAGAGATTGATGCACTTGGCACTGTTCTGGCAGGGCAGGTTTTGACAGGTTCCAATATCACTTTCACATCGAGAGCCAGTCCAGCCAGGAGGGCATTCACAACGGAAGTGGCCAATTTCATCACGGCAAGAACCACCATTGAGACAAGGCGTAGCAGCACAGTCATCAATGTTGGTCTCACAAAGCTCTCCTGTGAAGCCTTCTCGGCACTGGCAAGTGAATTGGTTGTCCTCATCAATGCAAGCTTTGGTGCCTTCTGGGTTGCAGGGATCGCTCAAACACTCATCAATTTCAGCTTCACATTGAAGTCCTGCAGAAAAATATGCAGTTTGTGTAAACAAAAATATTATATTGGCTTACTCTGTTAAAATACTAATTTTTTTTTTCAAAGAACAGAACTTACCAACAAAACCAGGTCTGCACCGGCAAACAAATCCATCAAGCATGTCCAAGCAAGTGGCACCATTTTGGCACGGTTCAGAAGCACAATCATCAATCAAATGCTGGCAGCGCTTGCCTGTGTAGCCGGGCTCACAGTTGCACATGTATCCATCAACAATGTCGACACAAACTCCACCATTTTCACAAGGGTCCACAGAACAATCATTCACATTGATCTCACAGGCACGTCCTGCAAAATATAAAATAAGATTTAAAAATGGGTTTTACCAATGCGATGGACTTCTAATTAAACCTGATGCACTCACCAGCCCAGCCAGGCTTGCAGACACATTGATAAGTGAAGAGTTTGTCCACACACACTCCATTTTCACAGGGGCTGTTGGCACAAAGGTCAATCTTCTCATGACATCTCTTGCCAGTAAAGCCAGGTGGACAAGTACACTTGAAGTCATTGACAAGGTCTGTGCAGTTGGCTCCCAACAAGCAAGGCCGCTCAGCGCAGTCATCTGTAACAATTAATAAAAAATTGTTTCATCAAGAAAAAGAAAGTGTTAGTCATTAGTATGCATTAGAGTTTCTTGAATCTGCTTACCAATATTAATCTCACAGTTCTGTCCCTCCCATCCAGGCAAGCATTCGCACTTAAAGCGACCCTGTTGGAGGGCAATGCATGTTCCACCATTGGTACAGGCATTGATGTCAGCAGAGCAGGGATTGATCTACAATTGAAAATTTGAATATGTAATTTAACATGCAAAAACATTAGATACCATTATCATAATTTAAAATATTATTAAAAACAATTTACTCACAGTTACATCACAGTTGGGGCCAGTATATCCAGATCTACACAAGCAAGTAAAGTTGTTCAGGCCTGGTTCATCCTTGCACATAGCTCTCTCTGGGCAAGTGTCATTGCGGCAGTCTGACTTCTCTTCTTGACAGTTGATACCACTGTATCCTAAATTAAAAAATATAATTTTTAAAATTAGAAGAAATAGACGTAAGTAGGAATAAACAGGTAGATGTACAGAAATGAAAATCTTTAAGTACCTGGGGGACACTGGCACCGGTAGCCTTGAGGCAAATCAATGCAACGGCCATTGTTGTGGCATGGCTGAGAAGCACACTCGTCAATATCGATTTCACAACGACGTCCAGAGAAACCAGCAGGGCAGTAGCACTGGACTCCGTGACCCATCGGGATGCAGAGACCTCCATGTTGACAGGCACTTTCAGAGCACTGAATGGGCTCACACTCGTCTCTGCCCACGGCTCCAGGACCAACAGTCCTCATGTTGGTTGGACACTCCAGGCAAGTCAGCTGACCAGAGGCCGGTTGGTAGAAGTCCCGGGGGCAGGCAGCGCACGGAGCAAGTCCAGTGTCAGAATACTGACCAGGAGAGCACTTGGCTGGAAAATAGAAGCAAGCAGATTAGTTGTCAGCCTACAGAGGCTTAACACGAAACCACTTGAGAAAAAAAGATTGACCAACTTACGTCGACAGAAGGCCTTTCCAGGAGCAGCTGGCTGGTATGTGAACGTATTGGCAGGGCAGGCTTGGCAGTCCTTGAAGCCTCCAGTTGGCGGCTCTGAGGTGTAACTGTTGCGAGGACACTCCAGACAAGGGACAAGTCCAGTTGGAGAGTAGGTACCGTAACCACAGACAGGAACACACTCGTTGATGTCCTTGGAGCCTACAATCAAAATTCAGAGGGTGAAAATCCAGGTCTCACCTTATCCTGTCACATTTGGAGAAAATAAAAATAAAAATACCTTCTTCTCGGGTGTATGTGCCAAGAGGACACCTGACGCACTGGCCCTGGCGGTCTTGTTGCTGGAAGAAACCACGGGGGCAAGGTGTGCAGGTCTTCTGGTTCACACCGGCAAATGTACCCGCAGGACAGTGCACTGGAAAAAGAAATTCAATTTTTTAGAATGCCTTAAATAAATATTCGTGAGTTATTTAGTAGTTAAAAAATTACTTACAGCAACGAGGCACATCATTAGTGTCCATGTTGAGAACTTCTCCCACATTGCAAGTGAAACCTCGGCTAATAGCAGATTTGAGAGCACGCAGAGGAGGACACTGATTTCCAATAGCAGAGACATTCAACAAGGGCTCTAAGACAGCACTGGCATAGGGAACAGACAGGTCGAAAATAAGATTCAATGTTGATCCACAAAGGTCATAGAGCTGAGGCTGCTTTACTGCTGGCACAATGACAAGGATGAAGTCCATCTGAAAAACAAAAAGGAATCCCATTATATATTTTTTTAAATTAAATATTTGCCATCAAGGCATTATATACAATTTTTAGACACATACCTGTACAAGATTCTCTTCCACTAAAGATGGCTTGGATTCAATGAATGAAACGTTCATGTTGACATTGACAGCAGAGCACCGCTGAGTGAGAATGTCGTTGAGTGACTTGTAATACTGGGACATGAGGTCGGAGTACTGGGGCAGGCACGACTGGGAAACAGCTCCGTTCGCGCGGTATGTGACGGTGGCAACGACATGGTAATCAGCCTGCTGAGTGTCTGCACACAAAATAGAAAATAAATTTATTAAGAAAATTCCAACACATAATTTTTTCAACCATATATTAAGGCTGCAATAAATTACCTTCGGAAACACAGTCGGGCACCATATTGTTGGGCAGCCAAGGGCTCTTCTCCTCACAGCTGAACGTTTTAACAGGCTCTCCATCAGTAAACCTAAATCCAGGTTTGCAGGTGGCAATACATTGTAGGCCCTTCTCTCCAGGCAAGCAGTTGAGAGCGCCGTTAGTCGGAGGTTGCAGCTCCCAGTCCACACAGGGAGTGGCCTGCACGGACACTTGGAAGTGGCACGAAGCCTGGTTGCCACTCTTGTCGGATGCCACCACAGTCACATTCTCGAAGCCACCGATAGGGATGACAGCACGATCGGGGACGAACACAACCTTCACATCGCCGGACTCGTCAGACACATTGACGCGACGACGAGTTTCATTGAAGTTCACAACGTAGCTGTCCTGGCGATCAACCAACTCGATCACGTAGCTCTGAGGGCAGCTCAGACGGGGAGGCGTGTCATCTAGAAAGGAAGCCATTACAGTCAATTATCACATAGGCCAGCTACATAATGTCACAAGAGTATGAATAAAAATAAAATTTACCTGGCACAGTGATGTTTATCTCACAGATGGCTACATTTCCATCATAATCAAAGGCAATGTATTTGACTGACATATCTTCAAACACTGTAATTGGTGTCTTGAAACTAGGAGGCTTCACTTCGAGACGAGCAATGCTTCCACTGTTGTCAACTGCCACGGGTTCTGTGAAGTTCACAGGCAGCAGGCCTCCATTAGGTCCCTTCTGAACAACAATTGGCTGCTGAGGGCAGTTCTGGAAGACTGGTGGCTCGTTGTCTGAAAAATTAAAAATGCCTAGTTAGTAAGAGTCAATTTCTAATGATAAATGACTTGACAAAAGAGTATCTTACCAACACATGGGGAGTATCCATAATCGTAACCCAAAAGTGGATCAGCCTTGGGTTCTTCACAGCCCATAAGTTCGAACTTCAAGCAAGCATTGTCCATGTAGCTGACAATACCAAGAATGACAAATCGAGCCTGGACATACTTTGGTAGAGTAATCATGGCCAGTTCACCATAGTTTCCAGGGTCACGCATGGTCAAATTGAAATTGGGGAAGTATACAACGTAATTTTCATTTTCAGCTTGCTTGTAGAAGAAGCGAATTTCAGTAGGACGACCAACAATGTCATTGGTAACAACTCCCTTCACAAGAATGGCCTGAAATATGGAGGTGAAGTGCAACATATGTCAAAATCCACTTCTAATTTATATTAATTTAATTTTTTCTCAAAGAAATAATAATTTTTTTCATACCTTAACACGGAAAACTTGTCCAAGATCAACACTGACATATGTGAATGCTTCTTGCTTGCCACACCAACCAGTGACTGAGTTGAGACGAATGTTGCGTGCTTCGTAGTTGGGCCTCTCTGATGTGGCGTTAATGGCTGAATCCGGGATACGTCCTGAGGCAATGCCCAGTGGCTTGACTACTCTGCATTCCGGCTCGCGGACACAGCTGATTGGTCGCTCGTTGATGAGGATGTACCCTGGCTTGTTGCAACCAAATTCTACCTCAGATCCCTGCAAGAAAAGTTGAAATTACTGAAAAAATTCTGGCAAAAATGGACGATTGAGAGATAAAAACAAAAACTGAAAATTGTTAGGGTACCTGTTCATAACTGCGAGCAAGCTGGAAACCATCAGTGGGCCTTCCTGGGTCTTCACAGACCGGACCTTCACAACGAAGGTCACCAAAGTCCCACACACCATTGGCCTGACACCTTACAACATTGTCATTCTTGCTGGTTTGACCGGCAAGCTTGAAAGTATCTTGGCAACCGAAGAAGAATGATGACTGATACTTGGTATCAAGGTACTTTCCATACTCAGCTCCAGGTGTTGGTAGAGGAACACCACAATCCATTCTGGGGCAAGATGGAGGGATGCCAGAAAGCCAGTAGTCAGGGAAGCCCTGTGGGAAATAAAATTTATGCATTATACTAGAATCACAAGAGTAGCTTAAGTACAGAATGTAATTACTTACAGGCTTGGGGTCATAAACACACTGACGGAAACCAGAAGAGGCAGTGCGTCGAAGGCTTCGGCCAACACTACCGCAATTTAAAGTGACATTTTCTTTGAAGGGAACAAGAACACTGCCTTGGTCCGTTCGCAGAACTGAAAGTCCTTCATTCTTATCATCAGGTAGGGAAACACACTTGGCATCTAGAAGAAATAAAGTAATAATGTCAGTAATTTTGAGGTGAGTTTGCAATAATATAATTGACTAATAATGTGACAACTAATAACTTACATTGGCACTGAGGAACAGAGCCATTCCACACACCCCCAGAGTTACACAACAATGAAGCTGGGCCACTCATAACATAGCCAAAGTCACACTGGAAGCTGACAAGGTCACCAAAGTGGAACATCTCCTGTGAAAATAATTTTAAGAATAATTAGGTTGATTATTATTAATTCAACTTCAGACACGACAGGATTTTAAAGAATTAATAAAATGTACCTTGGTTGAAAGAATGACTCCATTTTCTGGGGCTTCCAAAGATGGGCACATGATTGGGACACAGGTTTTGTTGCGCTGGTAGGTATCTCCATCTCGTTCTCCAGACTCAGTAGGAACCACATGGAAACCAGCTGTACCATTTCTGGTAAAGAGCTCGTATCCGACGTTGCACACACAGGTGAAGTTGCCCGGGCTAAAATTTTACAGAAAAAAGAGAGCATAGTTAGTACACCACAAGCAGAGAAAAAGTCATTTTGAGTATGAGATAAACATAGAGGTCTTTTACCTGTTGATACACTTTTGGTCACATCCACCATTGTCAACGGCACATTCATTAATGTCAGCGCACTCAAGTCGAGTGCAGCCCATGACTTCCAGACTGAGGCAAGGGTTGATCACATAGTCCTAAAAGACAAGAGATAAAGTTAAATTGTTGATAAATATTTAGTAATAACATTAAAGAATTTTTTGGCAGGTTTTACAAGAGATTTTACCTGGATGCGGAAGCGGAGATACTGGGCCTCAATGGGCACAGGGAGGTTGAGAACTGACAAAGTGGGTTCACGAATGCGGAACTCTACTGGAGTTCCATCAGGATTGGTGTAGTCTTTGAAAATGTCTGTCAGATCATCTGAATACTGAATGCGGAGAGCAGTTGTAAAGGCAACATTTCCATCATGACGGGAAACACTCTGGGTCCTAAATCCACGGACAACAGTTGGAGCTTTCAAGTCAAGTAACACCCAGTTGGCACCGGATTCGGTGTTAACACCACACCATCCCCCAGCACTATTGAGACGGACCATCTGCAAAAAGGAAATTGATGCAAAATAAATATTTTTGTTGATGTTGATTAATAAATACAAAAGTGCAGTTTACTATGTTACCTCCTTTGGGTATCCAGGCTCTGTGCCCGAAACAGAAATTGCATCATCAGGGATTCCACCAGTGGTCAGACCCAAGTCTCCAACAGGACGGCATTCCAAATGTCCCACGAAACCTTTGCGACACTTGCAGTGGAACCCACCAGGGGTGTTGACACATTCGGTGGAGGCAAGATCACACTGGCTGCTGCTGCACTCATTAATGTCTGAAGGAAATAAGATCAAAATTGAAGTAAGGAAAAGTGGAGAAAATATTTTAGGAAGTAAGCTTTAAAAATCATTTACCGTCACAGCGGGGAGGATTGAGGAACTCCTGGTTGGGGCCGCATCGGATGATGTTATTGCCAGAGAGTTTGTATCCCTTGAAGCACTGTACACGGGCTTCATCCCCAAAAAGATATTCACTTGTTGTTTCAACAATGAAACCATTTTTGATGGTTGGGAAAGTAGGGCAACGCGCACCTATAAGGTATTTTGAAAAAAATGAAGATAATTTTTTTAACAAGAAGTAGTTGGACAAGGTTTTAGGGGTCAAAAATTTGAATACTTACGGCGGCAGGCAGGAGGAGCGCTAGACCAGGTGCCATTGCTCATGCATAAGATGACAGGAGCTCCACTACGAAGGTAGCCTGGATCACACTCAAACCTGACAATGGTTCCGTAACTGCGACCACCTCCATTTAAAACTGTGGCGTTGGCATGTGGGGTGTCCGGTAGAGGAGGGCACTGAGATGCTAAAGATTTACAGATAAAAATGTTAGAAGAATGTAAAAGTATTTTAAAGCATCTTGTATTAATTCAATTAGGTAGATGTACAAACCAAGACAGGTAGGGAGGCGCTCCCAGCGGCCATCAGCAAGGCAGGAGACTCGCTCAAGAGGCAGCCCCGATGGGAAAGCAAAACCAGCATAACACTGGTACATGGCCTGTCCTCGGTATGTCACATTTGTGGAGCCAATAGAGAAACCATTGTCAATCTGAGGGACAGGTCCACAGTACACCTCTGAAAAAAAAATCGTGACAGAAACGATTTAATTTTGTGAGTGTTTACAGTAGGAAAATAATTAATGACAAATAATGGTGAAATTCTGTCTCACCTTGACACTGTGGAATGTAAGTGGTGGACCAGTTGCCTCCCTTCAGGCATTCAGTGGTGAGTTGCTGCTTGCCTGTGGCAAACTCCTGACCCATGGGGCATGTGAAAGTAACAATGGTACCAAAGGCTGTATCCCTGCTAGAAGCCAATGCACCTTCTCCCGGCTGAAGAGTGGCACAATCTGAAACAAAAAATTATTTTTTAAGAAGATGTCATAACTACAATAAATTAAAATAAACAATTATTTTGAATATTCTTACCAGCAGAGAAAGTGGCCTTCCAGCCTTTGCTGTTGTGAAGAGCATCGGTTTGGAAGCGAACAAGCATCTCTCCACTTGATGCAGTCAGTGTAATTCTTGGGATAGAATCTGCAGTGAAGCCATTGCCAGGATGAAGTCGCAGACCACTGGTGCTAGCACCATCATAAACCTGAACCATATCGGACTGGTGAACTTGGAAATGGTCAAAAGCCAGAGAGAGTGGTCCTCCACCAGGGTTCCTGATCCTGTACAGGCACTCCTGATTGCTTGGGTAGTCCTTCAAACCAAACGCAGGGGAAGTGATGGTTCCATTCTTGGCCACAATGGTAGCTTGGCATCCTTTAGAGAGAATGATTTAACAAATTAAAATTACAGATACAAAAAATAAAAAGGAAAGCAGAGTTATTTGCAAGAAATTTCTGTCTTACCCTGAGAATATTTAATTTTGAAGCCCTTGCGAGAGTCACCCAAACCAGTCTTGAAGTAAAGATACATTTTATCTCCAGTAGACATGATGAGTTTCGGATTGTCCTCTGCTTGCCCTGTCAAGCGGGCAATTGGTTGGCTCTTGGGAGAATCTCCATCTCGGATCAGAATGAAGTCTCGAGTAGACTCGATATCCAGTGAGTCAATCTAGAAATAATTTTTAATAAAGGTTATTTTTTTTCCACTGGCAATATTTTAAACATTAGAAAATGGTGGCAACAACCTACCTCCAAAGTCATGATACGGCCAATCTGTGCAGTCAAAATGTAGAGACACTCCAAACCACCTGGGTAGTTGTTAGGGAAGCCTGGTGAGGTGAGAACTTGGCCTTGAGGGGTAGCTCTCAGTATTCCACCACATGTCTGAGGCTCGGTTTTCCATGAAGCCCTGCACAGAAAAAATGATAATTAAGATATTTGTTCTTGTTTTTAACAGCAACTTGAATTGATTGTACACTGAAATAAAAACTAACCTGAAACCCTTTCTTTCTACAGATGCATCAGAGCTAAACTTGATGATCATGAAATTTGATGCTGAGACGTAAAGCTGACTGCTTAGGTCAAGCTTTCCGGACAGAGTTGCGAGGTTCACAGACTTGTCTTCTGTTCTACCTCCTACCAAGACCTGGACTGTGTCAAAGGTCTTCTCAGTCTCAAAGTCTTGGAACTGCAAGAGAATATTGTGTCCTTGGGGCCCTTCAAGGGTCCATTTGCAGTTAGCCAAGGGAGGGTACTTGTGGGGATAGCTGGGGCTTTCAACAACATCACCACTGCTCGCCATGTAATAATGGCATTCGTTCGGGCAATCCAACTCGTCAGACCAATCCCCACAGTCATCTTGCTGATCGCAGCGGAAAGCAGAGTTGACACAGCGACCATTTGAGCAGTGGAAGGAACCTGTTGAAAATAATAATAAATTTATTTTCTGTGATGAAATTCTATTTCAACAACAAAGAAGGAACTGGGTTTATTTCATGATGTCTTACCAGATGGGCAGGCTTGAGCTCGGCAGAGGAATGGCAACAAGGATTCACAAGTTGTGAGCGACCAGGATTGGTGCTCATCCTCAATCGTTGCATCCACACATTCACCCATTGAAGGATCTGGCTGTGGTAAGGCCCAGAATCCTGAGAAAAAAGCAAACCAAAGAAAAATTAGACAAAGCTTAAAAAAATTAAATGTCAGAGCTGAAGAATTTTAAAAACAAATACAAACCAGCATATTGTGAGACAAGCAGACCAGCTGCCGACTCCAAGGTGTTGGTGCGTAGATCATCTAGTGAGGCAAGACCCAACCAGTACTGTTGAGCCTCTCTTCCTAGTGATGGACCCAAATTCCTGGTGGCAAGTCCTGCTGTTAAGTTGTTCTCAGCGTAGGATTCAACTAGGACCAGGTCACTGCCGTATCTGCAAAAATAAAAGGTTGTCACCAATGAGTGTCAACTCTAGTCAACATGGGGGAGATGAAAAAGGGATAACAGATCGTATTTATTTTATCTTCCTCTCAAAAATGCCTAAAGTAAATAAGAATCCAAAACAAAAATAATATGTATAACCTACAAATCACATGGCCTATGAATACCTCAGCCAGCCGGGGAAAGATGAAACTAATTAGATTTTAATAAGCATTTCTTAACAGCTTGTGTAAAAAATATATGAAAAACTACATGGAAGTTTATCCAGATAAATCAGAGTTTAAATTTGACAATAGTTGCCGCGTCCGCAGATAAACAAACACCAACTACTGCTTGAGTCAAACTCATGAACTTGAACGTGCCTGACGGACGGACTTGAATCTGACTCCAGTTGTCGATTCCGTACCCCCATCGTGATAAAAAGTACTGTTTCCCGATTATTACCCCATTACTTTCACTTTTAACTAATTAGATAAAAGCAGCGCGATCCATCAAAGGACCCAGACGAAAACCCAAACCGGCCGGCCGGCGAAGAATCACAAGGATAACAAGGGATAACAGTGCCGCTGCTAACCAACCAGCCGCGGAGCCGAGCGGCGCGCGCGGGCATGGCGTAGCATGGCGCGGGGAACGGAATGGGAATTCCCTGCCATTCAAACCATTCAAACGAGCCAATTGGCCGCGAGTGCGCAAGCCTGCCGCCGAAACGGCGGCGCTCCGTCGCTCGGTCCCTCTCGCACCCACGCGGAACGTCCCATGAGTGCGAGAGAGACAGGGACACCTGCTGGGCGGGCTGTGGCTGCTCATTCACGCACTTGTGGACCCACCGGGCTGAAGCTCTAACCAGCCGGTAATAGCAATACGCCACTGTAGGGCCAGGGGGGAAAGGGTAAGGGGGCTGGGGAGCGATAATGGGTGCTAATTATCAGCAACAGCCACCAGTGCGTTCTGGACGAGCGAGTGGAGTGGCCCGAAGCAAGCGAAGCAGGCTCGCGGTGTATTCCGTTAGGTCCTGCAGCAGCACGTCAGTCCCTCAGCCCGTCAGCACGCCCGCCGGTCTGTCTGCCTGTCCGCCCGTCCGTCCGCCCGCCCGTCCGCGCTGTCCACCTGTCTGCCCGCTCGGCGAGCCGCTCGGCCAGGTGCCAGCGGGGCTACTCACTCATTACGGCAATGCCGGCAATGCGAGTGACAGAGACAGACGGAGCGGAACACTGCCGTAACGGGACGAACGGAACAGACGGGCGCGGCGGAGGCCCGGCCGGCGCGGCCAGCCGAGAGTACGGATCAGCGGGCATTCCCTGCGTACGCGTGCGCGTGCGCCTGTGTGTGTGAGTGCAACGCTACGTACGCACACGGAGCCCGGCGCCAATGTCCGGATTTTTATGGGGACCCGCGCGGACGGAGAGAGGGGAGAGAAAGAGAGAGAGAGAGTGACTCACTGATGAGGGCGCGACTGACTTCAGTGCATTTGCAATTAGCATTGCACACGCACATAAAAGTGAACTGGCTATTCACTTGCTAAATAATTTAATATTTTTTTTCCGGAGGGGGGGGGGACTGCGAGTAATTTTACTCGAATTTTTCACGTGCCGATTCCGGAGTGGTGCAACAACGGGGCTGTATTTGGCAAAAAGCGGCTGCCGTTTGAGCTGAGCGCCAGTGATTGGTTTCGGGCGCCGCGACGCGTAGAAGGCGGTGGTGGGGAAGTGGCGGCGCCAGCGCCTATTTCTTGTAAGTTGTAATCCGCCCCCCGCAGCGCCCCCACCAAAGGTTCCAATTAACCTTGTTTTGGATACTTCTTCCTCTGCGAGATGAAGGCAAAAAAAAGCGCGGGCGATATTTGAAAGGAAGATAGAATGTGACTCAGCGAGTTGATACAAACCTTCTGCAGAGCTCGGCCGCCTTCTCCCAGGAGTGCCGGATGGAGAAAAACTTGTAGCAATGCAGGCCGCGGAGCTCCCAGCCTGAAACAGCATGACATTTCGTTGTGAGAGAAAGAGAAAGAGAGAGAGGCAAGATGCGCGGCGAGGAGTGGACCTCATGGAGAGTTTGAGGCTGCGTGCGCCGGGCCAGCCAGCCAGCCAGCCAGCCAGCCAAGCCCCGGCTAGACTTGTCTCAGCCGTCGTAATTCGTCTTTTGGGGAGCCGCCTCAGGGAGGGGGTATCTCTAGGGAAAGTCAGTGCGTTACCGGCATCAGCCATCAGCAGGCCACCGGCGGCAGGATAGGAACCATGCGAGCGGCCCTCATAAATGAATCTAGCGGCATTAACGCGCGCCCGACAACACGGCGCGCTCGCCCATTCATTCAAGCGTGCATGCGTGCAGTCATTCAGGCGCCCAGTGAGTCAGTGAGTCAGTGAGTCGCTCGTCTGGTTCTACGGCCGTCCCTGTTGGTGGCCACAAGTTGGCAGCCACGTCCGCTTGCAGCCTGTAGCGCCTGGCAGGTGTGGTCTAGCCCCTAATGGCAATGGCAATGGCAGGTAGGCCAACCGTCGGAGCGCCACGCACCGGGCTGGAGACGGTGGCCCACCTCGCGCCTGCGCGTTCCATTGCCATTGCCATTAATGGCTGGAGCGCGACTTGGCACCTCGTGAAGCGAAGGGGCGTACAGCGTTCAGTAATTCATAGTTCATGGAGGGCCGGGCGGCGGGGCGCGGCGGGGCGAAGTCGTTTGGATGTAAATGGGTGAAAGCCGACGCCACGCCGCCACGCGTCCTCCGCTGCCGCCTACCGCGGCGATCTCCAAACGGACGCACTTCACACGTAATCTACTTTACATACATTACATTAATTTTTTTCGTCGTTATTTTTTTTTTATTGGTTAGTTCAGCCCTTGTGTAACGATGATGCTCCCCGAATATATAAACGAGTGCATGTATTCGTCCGGCTTGTGGCTGCCGTGCGGGGCAGGGAGGGTGCCACCCGATAGCCCGCCCCCTCCCCCTCCCTCCCCCTCACACGATGCGGTTAGTCCCCCCTCAGCCCCGGTGGTCGGTCAGGCTCACCAGTCCGGCCTACCGAACGGGGTTACCTCGGGTCAAGCGGCCGCACAGTGGGCCAGAAGACCGGTGGAGCGGCCAAAACTCTAACGCGTTTTGAGCTCCAGAGTCGCTAAATGGGACTCGAATCGAACGTGTGACCCCACCAATGGATTCCTCGTTCGGAGAGCAATCCATTGGTGGGGTCACACGTTCGGTTCGAGGCCCATTTATCGGCTCTGGAGGTCAAAACGCGTCTAGACTTTTGGCCGCTCCACCGGTCTTCTGGCCCACTGTGGGCCGGCCGGTCGGCCCGCTGGCTGAGTCCGAGCCGGGGGTGGTGGAGTGTCTCTCTCGCACTCATGTGGGGACAGGACAGGGGACTTCCCGTGAGTGCGAGGAAGACAGACAGACAGACCTCCCGCTCGGAATCGACCCGAGACTGCGACCGGCTGGTGGTCCCGGCCTGTCCGGCCCGTCCAGTCTCGGAGCCCCTCGGCCGCTCGGCCGCGCGGCTCCCCAAGGCCCAAGGTCAAGGCGCATCCCGTGCCGCCGTGCCGCAGTGCCACTGCCTCCGCGGTTCAGACTTCAGGCTACAGAGGACAATGACTCATTCCAGCAATCAAGCAGTAACTGTGCAGTGCTGCCGCGGCGGCCGTGGCTTTGCTCGGCGGGCTCAACAGTGCTTTCGTCGCTGTGTCTCCCTCGCACTGTCGGGGCGTCCCCGAGGAGTGCGAGAGAGACAGAGCCCTGCCAGTGGCGCGGTTTGCTGTGGGCGGGGAGGCCGAGACGAGACGGTGAGACAGGTGGGTAGGGGTTATTCGCAGGGCAAACAGTGTGGGGCGCAGACGAGTCGGTCTATCGCTCTCGCACCTGTGCGGCGCGTCTCACGAGTGCGAGAGAGAGGTGTGGGGCTTGCCCAGGCCCACTGTGCGTTGTTGGAGGCTTGCCCTGGCTTGCCCCAAGCTGATTGGACTGCTCGTCCAGCGGTGGCGGGCCGCGGGCCTGGCCGGGCCTGGCGGGCTGGGCGGTCAAACAAGCTTCGACTTTCTTCCAAGTGGCTCCCTGGCTCCCCCATTCACCCAACGGTGCGGGAGATGACCGTTAGAATCTGCCGCGTAGCCAGGCGGGACGGGGCGGGCGGGGCGCGCGGTGGTGTGAGCCCCGGGGATTCGGCACTCGCCGGCGTGTCGCAAGGAACAAGTGGCTCATCTTTTCGATGATGGCGCGGGCATGCAAGGGACGGCCTGGGAAGGGGGTGGGGGAAGGGCGCGGGCAGAGTGACGCCACCAGAGAGAATGGCACCTCATGGTCCACGTCGTCCTCCGTCCTCCGCACGACCGAACCGCCAGACCGCCGAGCTGTTTCGCAGTGTGCTAGCGTGCGTACGCTTCGCCTGGCTTCGCGCGCCGCAGCCACACAACGCCACACAACGCCACAGGGCCCGGCGACGGCACGACGACGACAGCGCCGCAATCATTCCTCGTCTCAACTTTTATTTCTTTTTCGCATTTCGGTCGTTAGAAGAAATTGAAAGGCTTTTGCGCGCGCTCCGCGGGCGGCCTCCATCTGTGTGTGTGTGTGTGTGTCCTTTTCTCTGTCGAGAGGAGATGGGTGTGGGTCGAATCCCGCCACGCCCGGCCATTGTACACAACACACACACAGGCGCACACGCGGAGCGTCGCGCTTCTGTGACGGATTAACAGCCACGCGCGTGGAAGACTTTCATTGGAAGATGCATTGCCGAGGCGTGTGTGTGTGTGTGTGTGTGTCGCCGCCGGACGCGCAGTGTGTGACGTAGGCGTAAGTAGTATTAGGGGGTTTACGTAAGGCGCCCCGCATTCAGTTTCGGTCTCAGCTTCCAATTTACTATGCATTCATGCATTTTTAACGCGACAAGCGTTCTGCTCCAAGGGTGTATATGGCCGTCTCATGGTAATGCGTGCCTTTGTAAGTGTGTTTGTGCGCGCGCGTGTGTGTGTGTGTGTGTGTAAGTGTGTGTGTGTGTGGTGCGATCCCAGGGCCCAACTGGGCGACTGCGGTGCGGCGGCGGGTCGAAGCGCGAAGCAGGCGAAGCAGGCGAAGCAGGCGAAGCAGCACACAGCGGAGAGCGAAGGGAAGCTTTCTCCTGCCAAGCCTGACCAAACGTCTTTGCCGTCTTGCCCGCGCCTCGCATCGCCCCCCCCCCCTTTCCTCCCGATCGACAAAAAGCCCCCCGTGCGGCAATTTGCGCGGGCAGGGCCGAGGCAGTGTACCAGCGTACGTGCTCCGGCGATGCTCCGCTTCTTTGCTCCATGCGCGCCCTTAGCAGTGTGGCTGCCGCCCGACGCTGCCGGCCGTGGCTGCCAGCCTCGGCTTGCTGCCGTTTTTCTCCATTTCCCGCTCTTGTTTTTGGGCGCGCTGCCACTCGCATCTCGAAGGAAAAGTGCGTGGCACGTGGGGGCCTAGTCCGCTGGCGTGCCCATCACGCGGAGAAATGCGGACGGACAGGCAGACAGACAGACAGACAGACCAGAAGACACAGCAAGACGACGCGACGCGCATAAATGATGTCATCAGTTTCCCCCGCGTGTTTCATATTGATCGGCTAACGGACGGACATGCAGACAGACAGACAGACAGACAGACAGACAGGCAGACAGACAGGCGGAAGTATAAGCGTGCCCCGCGGTGCGGCGGTGCATTGTGGGAGAGGGCGCAAAGCGCGCGAGACGCGGCGAGACGCGAGAGGTCCAATCCTGTGAATGGCTGTTATGCACGTTGCGGGTGAGCAATCAGTAAGCACCCGGCCCTCGCATGTCTGTCCGTCCGTCTGTCCGGCTGGAAACACACACACACACTCACACACACTCAAGCCACAAAAGCGTCTGGCTAACGACGGAGGGCACGCGGGGAGGATGCTCAACTTGGCGCGGTCGTAATTCGGTGTGTGCCAATAGCGAATAGCCAGCCTAGCCAGCGCTCGGGCCGCTTGGTACCCGCCTTGGTGCCCGCCGGTACCGTTCACTGCAAATAGCCACCGCCTGCCAACAACGAACGGCCAGCAGCGAACAACCGAACAACGCACTGCTAGTCCAGCCAGTGGCTGCTGGCACTGCTGGCACTGCTAGTGGCGTGGCGAGCCAGGCGAGCCAGGCAAGGCGGGTCGAGGACCGGGCTAAGAATAGGAAGAGAGACAAGACTGCCAGTGGACAGGCAAGACACACTACCCGTCCGACCGGTGCGCGACTGCAGGCGCCTCGTTCCGAAAGGGTCCTCGCGTCGCTGCCTCTCTCTCTCGCACTCGTGGGGCGTCCCGTAGGAGTGCGAGAGAGACAGAGCGAAGCGGGATGAGGCGACAGGCCTGCCAATAAGGGCAGCGTTACTCAACGAGGACGACGCTATTCGCAGGGCCGTCCGGTCTGATGCTATTCCTGCTACGCGGTGTGTTACAACCGCAGAGGCAGGCACGGATCTAGTGGGCGCCGGCCCCGCCGGCAAAACTGACAGTTTTCAGCGGTAAATGCTAATATTTTTTTGACAATTTTTTTTTGATAAAAGTGTTATAGAGTTTATGGGGCTCTGATTGGGGCGGCATCGGACGTCGGGTACGTCACATTGTGAGGGGCCGGTAGTGCGGCAGGACACGCCGGCGTGACGCAACCGGGCCCTGCGCCCCGCCCCGCCCCGCCCCGCCCCGCCGCCACGCTTAAACGTCTGCAGGGACAAGGTGAGTAATTGAGTAGTTAGATCGAACGGCCGCCCAGCTGAGTCTGCGGCGCGGTGCGGCGCGGTGCCCAGCAGAGATACGCCGAGCGCAATTTTCATAAGCATGACATAAGAGGCTGCCTGAAATGTCTTACTGTCCCACTGTAGCACACGAACCGGCAATAACGCCGAGTCCATTCGGAAAGACAAAAAAAAAAAAGAAAGATTAAAAGCGTAGCGGCTGGAGAGCAGATGCACGCGCCGTCTTGAATTTCACCATTCGATTTTATTATCATTGCCCCGCCCTTGCGACTGCCTTGCGACTGCCTTGCGACTGCCCTTGTCCCTTGTTTTGCTCGGCACTGCACTGCGAGGCAGTGTATGTAATGTGTAATCCCGGCCGGGTTATGATCTAGCTTTATGATCGCCAGGCTCGCGTCTCGCGTGAGCCCAATGGACGCCAAAGGCCTGCCAAAGGCCGCACGGCCTGGCGAGGCCGGAGTAGGCCGGAGTCGTGGGTTCGAATACCGGCACACGGAGCCAACATTTCCCCCGCGGCCTCGACGAAATTCGGGCCGAAACCGAGATAGAGAAAGCATAAAAGGAAGTGTAACGACAATAATGAAAACGTCGTTCGGAGCGGCGCGCGCACCAACACGCACACGCAGACACGCACACAGACACACAATACGGCAGGAAGGCGGCCGGTCACAGAGCATGACAGTACTCGCACACACACACAGCGGAGGCATTGCTCGGAAAGAAAGTTGTTTGGGGGCTCCGCGGCCAGGCCAGGGCGTGGCGCGGCGGGGCCCGGCGGGGCTCCGTCATTGGTGGAGGCAGCGCCGCCGCCCTTGAAGGCCAGCCTCGGCCAGCCCAGCCAGCACCCGTCTAGATGTGACGGCGATACGGCCGAAACAGAACGAACAGGAAGACAGGCAGACAGCGAGCAGACAGGCAGGCAGGCAGACGGACCGGCGGTATGGAGATGGTTCGCTTTTTCGCACTCTGCGCCGAATGGCAACCCTAGTGCAGCGGTTCTCAACCTTTCTCGACTCGCGACCCCAAATTTGTAGCCAAAAATTTCCGCGACCCCCAGGAAAAGTTTCGCGACCCCACGGGACCCCTCCTTTAGCATGCCACTGCGTCTGATCCGAGGCGGGCATTTTGCTCCCTCAACGGGCAATTGGTCTTTGGACCTTCCTTTAGTATGCCTCTGTTACGGAGTGCGATTATCAGTCTTAGTTTGGGAGCAGTATTGTCTCAAAGTTGGCCAAAACGCTCAGAAATGTCTTTAAAAAATCATGTTTTGGGTCGATTTTAAGCAGCCACTGCGTCTGATCCGAGGCGGGTATTTTGCTCCCTCAACGGGCAATTGTTCTTTGGACCTTCCTTTAGCATGCCCCTGTTACGGAATGCGATTATCAGTCTTAGTTTGGGAGCAGTATTGTCTCAAAGTTGACCAAAACAGGCACAACGATTTTTCAAAGACATTTCTGAGCGTTTCGGCCAACTTTGAGACAATACTGCTCCCAAACTAAGACTGATAATCACACTCCGTAACAAAGGCATGCTAAAAGAAGGTCCAAAGACCAATTGCCCGTTGAAGGAGGACGAAATACCGCCTCGGGTCAGACGCAGTAGCTGCTTAAAATAGGCCCAAAACACGATTTTTCAAAGACATTTCTGACCGTTTTGGTAAACTTTGAGACAATACTGCTCCCAAACTAAGACTGATAATCACACTCCGTAACAAAGGCATGCTAAAGGAAGGTTCAAAGACCAATTGCCGGTTGAGGGAGCAAAATGCCCGCCTCGGATCAGACGCAGTGGCTGCTTAAAATCGGCCCAAAACACGACCCCAGCTACCTCGCCGCGACCCCTTAAAATTTTTTCGCGACCCCACTTGGGGTCGCGACCCTAAGGTTGAGAACCACTGCCCTAGTGGCAACCCTAGTGGACACCCTGGCAACCCTAGTGGCAACCCTGGTGGCAACCCTAGTGGCAACCTTAGTGGCAACCCTAGTGGCAACCCTGTTGGTAACCCTAGTGGCAACCCTATTGGCAACCCTAGTGGCAACCCTATTGGCGACCCTAGTGGCAACCCTAGCGCCAGCAGGCTGCGCGGGGCGAAGACGGGCGAAGACGGGCGATGCATCGGTGGGATGAACAATGGCGCGTCGTATTGGGAGGGAAGGCCACGAGGGCCGCGAGGGCCGGCAAGGGGCGAAAGCTGATGACGGAACAAAAGGCGTTGCCTGTCGGCGTTGCATGCAGCAGTGGCGGCGTCGGCCCGGCGTCGGCCCGGCGTCGGCCCACACGTGGAGCCCACGAAAAGCCCACAGCGCTGCGCTGCTGCACCGCCCCGCGGCAAGCGGGCAAGGCTTCCACTCCCATCGTCGCGACGAGACGACGGTCCAAGGATCAAACGGTCGCCACGCTGCGCCGCGACGGACTCCAATGCCGAGCTTGACTACGCGGGGTAGCGACAGTTCGATTCCCGAGATGATGATGTGCTGCGTGTGTGTGTTTGTCGGCACGCCGGACCGTGACGGGCCGCGTGACGGGCCGCGTGACGGGCCGCGTGACGGGCCGCGTGACGGGCCTGGCCGGGCACGCCGAGGACGTAACGGGGGCCGGACCTGCCGGCGCCGCGAGGGCCGCGAGCCTGACGGACTGACAGAGCCACTTGCGATCCTGTCATCCATCCACCATCGCCTCGCCAATCTTGTCGTCAATCTGGCCGGCCGGCTCCGCGTAGCTCCGCGGCCTCGACGTGGCCTCTCGGCCTCTCCGCCCATCCGCGACGAGGCGATGATCCCCCAAATCACGGCGGTTGGCCGCCCATGCAAATAGGCGCACGCGGCCCGTTGGCCCGTCGGACCCAGTCGGACCGTTGCACAGTGGGCCAGAAGACCGGTGGAGGCGGCCAAAACTCTAGACGCGTTTTGAGCTCCACAGTCGCTAAACAGGACTCGAATGGAACGTGTGACCCCACCAATGGATTCCTCGTTCGGAGAGCAATCTGTTGGTGGGGTCACACGTTCGGTTCGAGTCCTGTTGAGCGACTCTGGAGCACAAAACGCGTCTAGAGTTTTGGCCGCCTCCACCGTTCTTCTGGCCCACTGTGCGCCGCCGTCGTCGTCTCCCTGATGGCCCTCTTGATGGCGGCGCGGCGCCTAGCCAGGACGCTGGTCTACTTCGTCTCCTCGCAGCGCGGGAGAGTGTCGGGCTGCTGCCGCGCTGCCGGGCTCATTTAGCAAACAATCGATGCTCTGCCGTGCTCCGCGCCGCCGTGCCCGCCGTGCCCTGCGACCCAGTTCACTGCCCGTCCGGGCCAGCCGCCACTCCGGCACTGGCAGCCCTTATGCCGGGGCGAGAGGGCCAGCCGCCCTCAGTCAGTAACCACCACACTGGCGCTCTCTCGCACTCATTGACCGCGCCGTGTGGGTGCGAGAGAGACAGAGCGACGAGGCTACATTGTTTTTGGGGCGTGCGCTTGCGGCCTGGCCGGGCCGGGCCTGCCCGCCACACAGTGGCCCAGAAGACCGGTGGAGGCGGCCAAAACTCTAGACGCGTTTTGAGCTCCAGAGTCGCTGAATGGGACTCGAACCGAACGTGTGACCCCACCAATGGGTTCCTCGTTCGGAGAGCAATCCATTGGTGGGGTCACACGTTCGGTTCGAGTCCCGTTTAGCGACTCTGGAGCTCAAAACGCGTCTCGAGTTTTGGCCGCCTCCACCGGTCTTCTGGCCCACTGTGCGCCATCCGCGGCGAGTGCGGCGAGTGACACGACCACGCCACCGCGTCGCCGCGTCACCACGTCGCCGTATCGACGGCAAGGTGGGACGATCGGCCGAGCGGAACCGAAACGGGAGATGTGGCGACGCCGGGACGGTGAGACGGTGAGACGGCGGGCGTCAAGGAGTCCCGTAGTCCCGTACGGCGCCAGGACCTGGCCAGGACGAGGCGGAGGGCATGTCCGCGGACGGACGCCGCGACACGACTCGGCACCGTTGGTACTACACTGTCACTCGGTATTTTGGTACTCACCATGTGGACACGTGAACAGCCCCGTCGATGAACTGTTGCTGCCCGGCGCCGTTCCCTGCGACAAACAAAACACAAAACAGTCAGGCAAAGGCGTTCTGCGTTCCGCGGGTTAGGCCTGTTAGGCGCGCGTGCTGCCGAGCGGTTCCGAACCGCCGCTCCGCCTCTCTCTGTCTCTCTCGCACCGCTGCCGTCTGATTTCGTCGCTCTGTCTCTCTCGCACTCGTGGGGCGGTCCGTAGAGGTGCGAGAGAGACAGAGCGACGGTCCGCTGCTCGTCGGCGTGCTCTGGCGTGACGAACGCGGCGCGGCGCACGGCCGTAACTCAAATAACGAGTGGCACCGTCTCAGTGCGCGCCCCCTGCGCGACCAGGACGTCTAAACGGCGCCAATTCTAGTTATTCGTTCTTTGCAGAGTACTCAGCCGGGCAAACAAAACATTTCGACGAAAAAAAAAGGCGCGCGAAAATGTGTCTTCCTGAGCCATTTCGTCGCGCGATAAGCGGAACGGGGCGCCGATCACAATTTTCACCTCGCAGTGGCGTGGCGGGGCGTGGCGGGGCGAAAAAGAGGAGAGGTAAACAAAAATGGCCCCCGGCCGTACAATGTACGGGGCCGGCCAGAGCCATGGCCAGCGGCGGTGGAAGGGGGAAGAGAGACAGGGATTGTTTTTGCGGCGATAAGTTTGCTTTCCTCTTTCCTCCGACGGCCAGTGGGGTGACTCCGAACGCGTCGCTCTGTCTCTCTCGCACCGCTACGGACCGCCCCATGAGTGCGAGGGAGGCAGAGCGACAGACTCTTCGAGGGGCCTCTCGTTTTCACAATGGACTTGGTTGAAAGGGGGAGGGGAGGGGGAGGGGGCAGTTCGTCCTCAAGAAGGCAGCGGACGATGCGATCTCGACGGGAAGGGCGACGCGGGGCGAAGGGCGATAGGCCGGGCGACAGTCAAGGTGAATGCCTCTCCCGGATTTCGACAGAGTTTCCTTTCGATGGACTTCCAAGAGCGCCGAGCAACGCCCCTTCGGGATTGTTTCTGTTTTCACGGCGACTTTTGAATTTCGCGCTGAATTTGACGCGGCGCGCCGGTAGGAGGGCATCAGTGGCGTCATGGGAGGTCCGCGGCGTGCCTTGCGCGGCCTGGCGCCACGGCCTAGTCTCGGCCCGGCGCCGGCAGGCTCTGTCTCTCTCGCACTCACCGGCCGCCCTGGGGCACCCTGGGGGTGCGAGAGAGACGGAGCGACGACGGCTAGGCAGGTGGCGAGCGTGGCCGTGGCTGCCGTGGCTGCACCGCAGACGGACTGCGGACTGCACATCGCGGACGCGCCGGACGGCACTCCACTCGGCACGGGCCGATCCGTATCTGCGGCTCGCTTTTCATATTACGGTGTGGGTACGTGTCGGTTCGGCTCCGGTTAGCATCGGTGCCAACTTTAACACGGCCGCTCTTCGGCAAGCTTCGGCAAGCCGCCCGCGGGCATGGCCATGCACTGCCCATGCACACTCGTTCCTGTCGCTCTCCCTCTCTCTCTCTCTCTCTCTCTCTCTCTCTCTCTCTCTCTCTCTCTCTCTCTCTCTCTCTCTCTCTCTCTCGCACTCGTGGAGCGTCTCGCGTGGGCGCGAGAGAGACAGGCGACTCTGGGAATCAGTGTGCAAGGCCCCCAGGCACCCCGAATCGGAAGTCGAGGGCCCGTTTCTCGGGAAAGAAGACCCCGTCGAGTTATCTTTGCGGTGGCGCTGCGATGCTGCGATCTGTAGAGCCACACTACTATACACTGCAAGCGCTATGCACTGTACAGCCTCCCACTGCCGGCAACCTGACAGCGAGACAACGAGACAACGTGACCCGGCTGAACGCAAAACTGTGGTGTTGGCGGCCCTGTCGTCACGACTGCGGGCGGGCCATTATGTCAAGTTGACCGTCTAGGACTGCAGGTCGCGGAGGGGCACGTGTGTGATGACTCCGTGGCCGCGATGCTGCCCCCCCCCTCTCTCTCTCTCTCTCTCTCTCTCTCTCTCTCTCTCTCTCTCTCTCCTCCCTCTCTCTCTCTCCCTCCCTCGGCACGGCCGGCCGCTCCAACGGCGTGTCCGTGACGCCGAGTGGCTCATCCCGGCATGGAGGGCGTGCATATTGCACCGCCGTGGCGCCGCGGCGCCCGCCTCGCTCCGTCTCTCTCGCACCCCTACGGGCCCCGCACGGCCCCGCATTGACTCGTGTGAGTGCGAGAGAGACGGCGCGACGGGCGCAGGGAGAAGTGCAGCGCAGCCACCAAGTGACCCTGCGCAGTGCAACGTGCCGGCCGTGGCGCGGCGTGGCGCTGCACTGCGAGGCACCTCGTGAAGACCGCCAGGAACGTGAGCGAAAAAATAAGTAAATGTGGCGCAGGAAAATGATTTTCGAAAACAACCGCTTTGAAAAATCCCGGGGGTCTGTTTGCCGCGGCGAGCGCGTTGCGCGTTGGTCGGGGTGGTCGCTTGGACTGGCTCGTGCGTTGAGGTCTCCCAGCGGCCCGGCCTGGCGGCGTCGGGCGGCGTGGCGTCGGGGGTCCGTGTCCTCTGGCGCGAGGCCAGCCTTGCCAGGCTAGATAGGCTAGACAGGCCACCCTAGACGCATTCCAGTGGCGCTAGCGCCCTCTAGCGGCCTCTAGCGGCCGCCGGGCGAAGCTACGCGTCGACACACGAAAATGGCGGCAGAATCGCACGCCTAGATTAAGCAGTGTGGCGGTAATAGGCAGGGGGCGCGGCTAATGATCGCTCTAAGACAGCACGCGGGCTGCCCTCACGCGAGCCCCGCATTCCCGGTCCGTGGCCGCGGTTTTTGACGGTGTGCCGACGGGCCCGGCGGCCCGGACGCCGCCTTGTAAACGATACGTACTATACGACCGGGCCGGCAGGCGGCCGGGCGGCCACTTACGATACCATCGTGCACTTAATTTGGAGCTTGGAGCCCATCCCGGGATGGTCGCCTTGTCTTTTGGTCGTTTTGTTCCCGTGGAAGCCGGGCGGGCGAGGCGCCGCGCCGGTAGGGCGGGACCTTGGAACCGGTGTCGGGCACCGTCCACGACGTCCAGGACCACTCCCCGGCCCCCATGGACAGGACACACCTTGACCCTGCCTCCACTCCACGGCCAAGCGGGCCAAGCAGGCCGGGCCAGCCACGCCATGCCACGCCACGCCATGCTCAAAACGCCTCGATCATTCAACGCCCCGTTACTCGAGCAGGCGAGCAGCCGGCCGGTCGCTCTGTCTCTTCGCACTCGTGGGGCGTCCCGTAGGGGTGCGAGAGAGACAGAGCGACGAGGCCCTGCTAGGAGTCAGCACACCCGAAACGACGTCACCCATTTCGGCGCACACGCCACGGCCCCTCCGTTTCGGCACTTTTCGCGTCCAAGTGATCACCCAGTCCCTTTTCCCGCCAGCGGCCAGGAACTTGCAAGGATCTCGGCTCCGCCGCCACGCCCAGCAAGAAGGCCTTCGCGTGGTGGCCGCGCGCGTTGCCGCGTTGCTCTGGTATGCCTCGCCGCCGTGCCGCCGTGCCGACGTCCAGCGCGGACGCGGACCCGGCGGACTCCGCTCCGCCGATCACGAATCGCGATCCGGAGCGCCGATTGCCGATTCCGGCGGCGAGTCTGTTCCGGGTGCTTTCGGTCCGGACTCCCCGACCGCCGAACCGTCGGCTCGCTGACGCCGGGCTGCCGGGCTGCCGGGCTCGTGACTTAGGGCTCGGGGCGACTCCCACACGCACACACACACGCACACGCACACACACGCACTCATACTTTCATACCTGACCATAGTGGAACTAACATCCCGAGATGATTGAAAATTAGCAACAGCCCTCGATACAAAAAACACAATAAAAATGTGGCAAAAAGAACAACAACACGACGTCCTGGCTTTGGAGCAGTGCGCGCTTTCCCCCGGAGTGCCTGGCAGTGTGTCCGAGCGGGAGGCACACTGGACTGCAAGCCCCCCCCCCTCCGGCGTCCGATAGTGTACCGCCCCTCGCCCCATAAGGCAGCGACGGGATACGACCAGTGCGACGTGCGACAGGGCAGTGTAGCGGCTCGCGGGGCGTTGCCGCGCGTTGCCGCGACCGTTGCCGTCGACATGACGTCAGGTGTCACACGTAAGAGAAACTCGCTCACTGCCCCCGACTTGCCCCTTATGAAGTACCGCGCCACGCAAGACTTCGCGCGCCGCACCACTAAAGAAAAAAAAGAAAAACTTGGAAATGAGGGGAAAAAAGTAGTCGCGCCGCGGCGCCGCCGGCCGGGAATCGAACCCTCGAGTACCGGTCGTGGTTTGACGACTCTAGTCGCATTCTCGAGCGCTGCCAGCCCTGCTGCGGGTAATCCCTATACTTTGCGCGGCGCCGTCTGATCGTCGGATCGCAGCCGCTCCGGTCTCCGGTCGCCTGGCGACGGTCGCTTAGCGACGGGCCCGCCGCGCCACACAGAGAGAGAGTGAGAGAGAGAGAGAGAGAGAGAGAGAGAGAGAGAGAGAGAGAGAGAGAGAGAGAGAGAGAGTGAGAGAGAGAGTGAGAGAGTGAGAGAGTGAGAGAGAGAGAGAGAGAGAGAGAGAGAGAGAGAGAGAGAGAGAGAGAGAGAGAGAGAGAGAGAGAGAGAGAGAGAGAGAGAGAGAGAACACAAGGTCACGGAAATGGAGTCAAGTCGCGAGCGAGGCAGCCACCCAGCGGTGATCGCCGCGTCTCGTCGCGAAAGTGTGTGACTTCATCAGCCGCGCGGCGCGGAGACGCGGAGGGAGAGCAGGCCGAGCGGGCGGGGGGCAAGAACTCACCTTGGACCGTTACAGTTACATTCCCCGAGACAGACTCACTCGCAGACAGGCAAGCCCAAGGCGCGTTCGACTCGACAGCTTAAGGGCCGTGTCGCAAAAGTGCGTCCAGCAGGGGAACACAGTAAGTCAGGACTGCAGTTTTAACAACCCTAAACGGCCGGTTTAATGCTAATTGCAAATACATAAAATTTGTTTTTTAGTTGCAAAAAAAAAAAAATCTACAAATATTGTGCAAGGTCTGATTCTTTTATGTTTGAATTAAAAATTCGTAAAGAATGAGCCTGCGGCCTGGAGATGCCCCGTCGGTGTCCGAGACACTGAGACAACGAGACATCGAGACATCGAGACATCGAGACATCGAGACATCGAGACATCGAGACATCGAGACATCGAGACATCGAGACATCGAGACATCGAGACATCGAGACATCGAGACATCGAGACATCGAGACATCGAGACATCGAGACATCGAGACATCGAGACATCGAGACATCGAGACACTGGGGCGGGTAGGCAGATGAGAGCCACGCTCGGCCTGGGCTGGCGAGGGTGGGGCCCGCGGGGCTCGTGGGGCGCGCGGGGCCCGGCGAGCGAAGGGGCCAAATGTCACAGTTCTCCGCGCAATGCGGCCATTGCGGCCATTGCCCAACGGCGGAGTGCCCCCCCCCCCGCGCCACTCCGCGCCACGCACGGCCCGCCCCTCTGGGACTGCGCGACGGCGCGAGGGAGAGAGACGGTCACTCCAAGGACCATTAGGCCCTCCTCCTGTTTCACTTTTCAAAACAAAGTCCAGCCTCCCTTAATGGTGGCCGCCTCGGAGTTTCGAAAGCAAAACGACGTCGCGCTCCACAGCAGCAGCAGCAGCAGTGGTTCCAATAAAGACAAAAGTATCTCTACTTCTGCCGCAAATGCACGCCGCCACGGCCGCCGCCGTCGTCGTCGTCGGGCCCGAAAACGAAATGGGATAAGTAAACATGGATATGGTGGTGGCGCTCGGACTTTCTCGACTCATAAATATGCGATGTGTCTTTGAGGGGGCTTTGTGCGCTGCCTCACCCTGTGTGTGTGTGTGTGTGTGTGTGAGTGCAGGCCGTGTAGTGACCGCTCGGTACCCGAGGGTACCCCCTCCCAAATGGCCTCCGCGGTCAAACACGCACTCGATGGCAACAAATGGCTGCATAACCCTGATGCCCGGGCACCGCATGCTGCTCCCATTTCGAGAGACAAATGGAGGTATTCACTTTGGAGCCCCGTTCCGTTACAGGGCGGCCCGGCGAGGAGGCCCGCGCCTTGCTGCGCCTGCACTGCGAGTCCAGCCCGGTCCAGCCTGGCGGGGCGCCGTGCGCGTAGGCAGTCCCGCTGGCCGCGCGTGCGCTGCCGCCAGCCCGGCTGCGTGCCCGCCAGGGGCTCCCCGCCGCACAGTGGGCCAGACCAGCCGGTGGAGGCGGCCAAAACTCCAGACGCGTTTTGAGCTCCAGAGTCGCTAAATGGGCCTCGAACCAGGCGCGTGACCCCACCAATGGATTGCTCTCCGAACGGGGAATCCATTCGTGGGGTCACACGTTCGGTTCGAGGCCTCTGGAGCGGCTCTGGAGCTCAAAACGCGTCTGGAGTTTCGACCGCCTCCACCGGTCTTCTGGCCCACTGTGCGCCGGGGCGGGGCAGGCAGAGGCTGGCTCGGGGTGCGCCGTTCGGCCGTCCGGCGCGGCGTTCTGTCCGACGCTCCGTCGTTCCGTCGTTCCGTCCGGCTTGGCAGACTGGCCACGGTCACGGTGGCTATAACCGGGGCCGGCGAACCGATCGAGCCCAGCCGAGCCGCGCGGCGCCCTTAACTGTGCTGTAAAAAACATCCATCGCCGAAACAAACGAAAAAAAGGGGCCAAAAAAAAGGAAGTCGAGTGGGAGAAAATTACTCAAAGAATAGAAACATTTTTTTCTCGTCCGCGGCTCCGCGGTCTAGCGCGACGAGGGACCTGCCGGCCGTTACTGACCAAGCGACAAGCTGCTCTCGGCGACTGCAAGTTGCTCGTCGCGATCAACAGCAGCACCTGTGAGCTTCTTCGGGATGGACAACCAACCCTCCCCTCTCTCCCCCAACCAAACACACACACGTTCTCGCGGGCCGCGACAACCGCGCACGCCGCACGGCCGAGCGCGCACCGCGCCTGGGGTGCGAATTTGAAAAGGAAAAACGATCCCCATACGTTGGTGCTCTCGAGGCCGGCGTCGGCCGCCTCGCCTCGACGCGCGCACCGTGTGTGAGAGAGAGACAGAGCGAGAGAGGACCAAGGACTTGAATTGCAAAGCGCGCGGCGACCAAGGCGGAGTTCCAAGGCGGAGTGCCACCGTGGGGCCCTGCCGTGCACACTGCACCGTGTGCATGCAGGTGACATAAAGCCCCGCGCGGTCGTGGCCGTGCAGGCCGTGCCCGTCGTGCCCGGCCCCGGCGCCAACAAGACGACCGCGAGCATCCCCGCGGCCGCGCGCTCCCACAGCAACACGTGGCCGCCGCAGCCTCGGTGGCATCGCCGTCGTGCATCGTGCTGCTGCTTCCCCAAGGGCCCGACGGCCGGCCAGGGGGTTGCCGTTCACGCTGCCGCCGTCGGGGTGGGTGTGCTGACCGCACAGTGGGCCAGAGGACCGGTGGAGGCGGCCAAAACTCTAGACGCGTTTTGAGCTCCAGAGTCGCTAAATGGGACTCGAACCGAACGTGTGACCCCACCAATGGATTGCTCTCGGAACGAGGAATCCATTGGTGGGGTCACACGTTCGGTTCGAGGCCTGTTTAGCGCGACTCTGGAGCTCAACACGCGTCTAGAGTTTTGGCCGCCTCCACGGTCTTCTGGCCCACTGTGCACCGCCCTCTTACTTCTGTAATTGCCTCGCCTCCGTGAGGCGCGGGGCCTCCACCTCGCACTGCCGCCTTGCCCTCCCCGGAGACGGGCTGCCCGGCACGCCCGGCACGTCGCTATGCTTATGCAACAAGGGCGGACCTTTTGCCAGCCTCCGCGGTGATCGGTAGAATTTGAGTGCTGGCCCACTGCGTACGGCGCGCGCACGTGTGTGTGTGTGTGTGAGGGACTTTCTCCAGAGAGCCGACCGCAGCAGGGCGCAGTAGGCGGCGTTGAGGCGGCGGAGTCCGGAACCCTTTACGCGCCACTTTACCGCGAGGCCGCGGTCCAGGCAGCCCGTCCCCGCGGCCGGCCAGACAGCCGCCCGTCCATAATAGCCAAATGCGTCACGAGTCCTGTCTCTCTCGCACCCTCGCGGCACGCCGGCGGTGCGAGGGAGACAGAGCGACGAAAGCGCTGTTCGGACTCGGCGTGGTTCCAGCCTTGAGTCCGCGGACTGCAGCAGCCTTTGCAGCCCCCTTTGCAGCCCCGGCCGGCCGGTTTGTCCGGAGCCGCCTGGAGTCCAGGCCTGGAGTCCAGGCACTGTCGCCGACACTGGAATGGCCACTGTACTGCGAGGGGGAAGATAAATAAACAGAAAAAAAAGTTGGACGGCGGTTATGTGACACGGCCTCGACGAACCGATATCCCATCCAGTCCCGACACGGGCAAGCAGCGTGGAGCAAATCAAAATCGCGAGTCACACTAGACTCGGAATTAATGATGGGCAGGAGTAAGCGAAGCACGAAGAAACCACTTCACTTCCACAATTCCACTCGCCGTCCATTTTCGTCACTGGATGATTTGTGTCGCCGCGAAGGGAAGTCCATACATCGTCGCTCGGACCGGAAACGGAAGGCGCGCTCTTGCTGTTGTTGTTGCTGTGCCCTATGGGTGTTGTTGTTGTTCGCTTGTGCAATGCGGGCGGGACGTACCTGTGCGTAGATCGGGGGCAGGACGGCGAGGACCAGCGCGCAGAGGGCGAGCAGAGGCCCCCGTGGGCCCCTCGGCGCGACACGCATCCCTGGAACAAACAAGAACCAAATCAGTTAACGCTGTCATTGCCGTTGTTGTTGTTCTCGGCTCGCAGCCCCGCTGCCGATACACTGGCGCTGCTGCACTCCGCTCGTTGCGGCAATGCTCCGCCATGTTTGGCGCCACATTTGCGTGCTACATTTCTCATACTCCGCACGCCGTTACTGTTAACACACCGCCAAGCGAGTCGACCGAGTGGCGCGAGTCTCACGCGGGGCGGGGCGGGGCGGGGCGGGGCGGGGCGTTCCAGCAGGGCGTGCCGGGCGTTCCAGGCGTTCCCAAGAGGTGCGCTGCCGAGCCCGGCGTCTGGGGTGTCTGCCCCGGCCCGCAGACTGATTCCGAGAGTCCTTCTCGGCGCTCTGTCTCTCTCGCACTCACGGGGCGTCGCGTGGAGGTGCGAGAGAGACAGAGCGACGACGCTCGGAGTCAGTGGGGCTGCCTCGTGGCCGCGTAGTGGCCGACGGGCTGCACCGACGGGAATCTCACAGGATTGCCAATCCATCGCGTGCCGCTGCTGCCTGCCGCCGCCGCCCTGCATCAAGGCGCAGGCGGTGACGCAAGGTTGGCGGCACTGTGGATGATAACAATGCGTCTGTGTAGTGTATGCACGCGGCACGCGGCCAGTCGCACCAACCCGGCCGCACGCGCCACTCGCGTCACGCACGCTGGGCAGCGCTCGCTATCTGTTTCACACTTTGTCTCCCTTTTTTGTTTCGTTCTCTCTCCATCTTTCTCTCGCTCGCTCCGCACTATGCTTTTCCTCGTGCGGAAATTGGCGGCCCTGCGCCCGGGCGAGTGAGTGAGAGAGAGCGGCAAATTGTTTTGGGCGCGGTGCTGTGCCATGCTGCGAGAGGAAGACGTCACGACACCATCTTTCCACTGCACTGACACGCACGCACGCACGCACGCACGCACGCGGACGCGCCGCTACAAATATATCACGTCGAGCATTAAAATTTGTTGTGGCGGTCACGTTGTTGGCAGCAGTGCGTGCGGACTGCTCTCCTTTTCCGCGCGGGCTTCCTGATGAAGGGGGTCGATGAGAGGGGTCTGGAAGAGGGAGGGGGGAGAGATTGAGTTGTCCCTGATGGATGTCCAATTGTTTTCCGCGAGGGAACGCACACCGGCTGGCGGACGCGGTGGAGGGACGCGGCACGCGGGTGCGGAAAGGAGGAAAGAAAGTGGCTGCAGTGACAGACGTGGAGGCGGGCGCCGTGGAGGTAGGCAGTCCCGCGACGCGCGCGCGCCACGGGACAGTATCCACACGCCGAGAGAGAGAGAGAGAGAGAGAGAGAGAGAGAGAGAGAGAGAGAGAGAGAGAGGTTAGTTTATAAAATGTTTATTGGGGGATTTGAATTAACAATCATTGGGAGATTAGACTAGAGTCAATTTGGTACAATGAGCATAGAGAGAGAGAGAGAGAGAGAGAGAGAGGAGGAGAGAGAGAGAGAGAGATGCGAGAGAGATGGAAAGAGAGGGAGAAAGGAGGGCGGGGGGATGTTCGCTAATTAGCCATCTTGTCATGCTGCAGCGAGGCTGTGCAGGGCGGGGCCGTGGCGGGGCCGTCCGAGGCACGCTAGAGGCTAGAGCGCTAGAGTATCATAACGGGATGGGATAGGGCCAGGGCATCGCCACGGCCCGGCCGCTTGGGCCTACAGTGTAGGCCCTACACGAAGGCAGACAGGCGAGGGCCGGCAGCCTCTAGCTCTGTCTCTCTCGCACCCCTACGCGACGCGCCGCGAGCGCGAGAGAGACAGAGCGGCGGAACAGCCGGCAGGGGAAATGAACACCACGCGGTGTTTCGCCGCCTCACTGTTTCACAGTGCCGCGGCTTCGGACACGCGGACACTCCGAATCGCTGATGGCATCTATTCCGGGTTCGGCGCCACTGCCCCGCCACTGCCCCGCCACTGCCGCGCCACTGGATACGATGGCGGTGGCGTGGACGGCGTGGACTCGGGCGGCGGCGGGGCGGTGGGGCCTGCCCTGCCGGCCTGCCCGCTCGCTCACGCCATTGTCGAGGGGACCTTGACATTTGTGCCACACCCACCCGCCAGTCCGCCCTACCCAGCCTGCCCGGCCTGCCCGGTCTCCGGTCCCTTCACTCTATATAGGCCGCGCGCGTGTGACACCGCCCCCCCCCTCCCCCTCTCCCCAGCGCCTCACTACCGTTAACAGCCTCCCGTCGTCGCGCGCCGCTCTGTCACCTGTTCCGTCCTCGCCCGGGCCGAGGCGGGCCGAGCGGCGAGTGTTCGGCGGTCGTGGGTTCGAACGCCGCCGGCACCTGACGAATTTTTCATCCCTTCTTTCACCCCCGCGCTACTCTCCGCCGGTATCATTGTTGTTGCTTGTTGTTGTTGTTGTTGTTGTTGTTGTTGTTGTTGTTTGGGCGATCGGGAGCGTCTCGTCATGCGACGCGCGGCCGCGGCCACCGTGTCGACACGTCGCCTCCATACTCGGGGTGCCCCTCTGCCGTCCGCGGCGGTCCGCGGCGGTCCGCGGTGTGCCTACACTGCAGTGCCTTACAGTGCTGCGGTGAGGCAGAAAGGGCGCCTTACGTAAGGCCGCGGCGAGGCGCCGGGCGCCCCGTATCAGCTGGAGAAGTTCCTGGAGAAGTTCCGCCTGTTCCTGGACAGGCGGCCGCCGGCACGCCGCCGCGCCGCGACGCGTGACCCGCCGTTTCCATAAACACAGCCCTGAGGATATCCGTGCGAGCGCCACTTCAGAGCGCGCGCGCGTGTGAGTGTGCGAGAGGGGGATAGAGACAGTTGGAGGCGTAAGAGAGTTAGGGGTGCGCGACGGAGAGAAAAAAAAATTCCTCCGTGTCGGTATTCGAAGACGGGCCCGGGCCCTGACCCCCAGGCTTGCGCGCTAAACCCGGATTCCTGCATTATGACTGGCCGGTCGTCCACACAGGTGCACTGCACAGGCCCGAACCGCGACAGGGCCAAGCCGGCCCTGCCGGCCTCACACACACACACACACACACACACACACACACATGCACGCACACACAGAGGCTGAAGCGCGCGGCCCCCTGATCTACATACAAGACTGGATTGGGCCTGTCCGCATTCCGCGCCCCGCCCCGCCCCGCCCCGCCCCGCCCCGGGCCGCCAGCAGGCCGCTGACCCCGTGATGAGACATACGGAAGGCCGCACTTTCGCGTCGCATCGCCACGGCGTCGCTCGGCCGGTGACGAGGCGGTGAGGCGGCGTAGGTGTAGGCCCCCTCCCCTTCCCCCCTTCCCCCCCCCCCCCCCCCCCGCGGAGCCGGTGTGCAGGAAAAGATACTACAAAAAGGTGGCGGCCGTTTCGTAAATGAATGCGACGTGATACGACCGCAGCGCCGCGACGGTGCAAGCAGCGAGCGGCAATTAATCGAACTAATGAAATGGCGGTCGGGCCGGGCCGGGTATTGCAAAGCCCTCCGCGTTGTTTCGCTGTCTCTGTCCACCGTCCTCCCTCCCACTTGACTCGCGCTCGCCTCCCTGCTCCTTGCGCAAGTGGCGAAGTAACGATTCCCTGCAGGCCCATGCATCCCGCGCCATCCCGTCGGGCCGTGGGGCTCCAGGCTCCAGTCGGCGCGCGCCTCGCCCCGCCGCATGCACGACAATCACACTCACGAAATACCCGACGCCTTTCGTTACGGGTGTGTGTTTCAAGACGTTATTTTTTAAAATTTTGATGTGAGGCGGGGCAAAAAAAAAAATGGCCGAGAGGTTTCGGCGGAGCGCCGCGCTCTTTGGCGGCTCTGGCTCTTTCGTGCTGGATGTGCGTTGAGGTCTCCAAGGGGGTGCTTTTGGCGAGCGATCCGAAGCGTCGTTTCGTCTCTCTCTCTCTCTCTCTCTCTCTCTCTCTCTCTCTCTCTCTCTCTCTCTCTCTCTCTCTCTCTCTCTCTCTCTCTCTCTCTCTCTCTCCCCCCCCCCTGGGGGCCACCGTGTGAGTGCGACAGAGACAGAGCGACGAAAAGATCCATCAGGATCGGTTCGCTGATCGAACCTGCGGGGGGCGGAGTGCGGCGCATGCAACACACTGAGTCCTATCGCGTTACCCGGCGGGCGGGGCGGCGGGGCCAAGTCGCCCGATTCCGTCGCTCTGTCTCTGTCGCACTCGCGGGGCGTGAAGGGCGTACCGCGGGGGTGCGAGAGAGACAGGCGACGGGGCACGAAGCCTGCTGGCGGGGCGTCACGGCAGCCCACGCTGCGACACGACGTCGCCGCGGGAGCGTTCTCATTGTGCCCCGCGCTGCTCCACGCAGCCGCCTCTGTCTCTCTCGCACTCGCGGGCCGGACCAGGGAGGTGCGAGAGAGACAGAGAGACGGCGGCGCGGGAGGCAAGGCGCAACCCGTTGCGCCGCACAGCGCCCAGCGCACTGCGCCCACGAGGCGGCCGTCGTTCGATTCCCACAAAAACGTAGTGACGTCATGCACACCACGAGGGCTGCCGCAGGATGCACCTCGGAGAAGGACGTCCTGGGTGTCGCGGGCGCACCGCGAGAGCGAGAGAGAGAGAGAGAGAGAGAGAGAGAGAGAGAGAGAGAGAGAGAGAGAGAGAGAGAGAGAGAGACATAGAGCGGGCGGCAGCGCGGCGCGTTTTGGAATTAAATGTCAGGCCGATGGACTTCGGAGCCTGGGCCATCACTGCAAGACCGGCTCATGACTCAGCTGGCCGTGCCTGGCCGTTATGGACAACGCGGACCCGACACCGCGCCGCCCTAGCCGACCTCTGAACTTTGACCGCGGGGAGGGAGGCAACATAAGCTGGTCGCCCGCCGCGCCGCCGCGCCCGCGGGAGGCTGAGGTTCCCCGAGGTTCCCAGGCGAGGCGCCGGCAGGGCCGAGACGAGACGAGCGAGACGAGACAGCGCGTTTGAATAATACCCGCACGGAAATAATGCGACTAAGCCGCCGAGCCGGGCCGGTATTCGAACCGCCGACCCCGGCCGCCGAATCGCCCAGACTGCCCCGACGCGACCACTTTCCCCCGCG